GTTTTCACTTATGGGGAATTGTGTGTAGATGTATTTCATCCATTTTGAATTCAGGCTGTAACACAACAAAATGTGGAATATGTCAATACTTTCTGTAGGCACTGTTTGTATTCCTTCTGAAAACACTTGCCACGTGTCCAAACTTTTTACAATTGTAATGCTGCAGTGGTTTTTGTACATACGGTCTCACCGCAAATCTCACATACCTTGGTTTTACATGAGTTGGGAAAAACACTTAATCAAACAGTAAAACAGAGTCGTTCCTCCTTCTTTCCGTCTATCATTCGGGTCAAGCGACGTGTGTCTACCACTCCTGACATGTTCTCCCTAAAACACGAATCCCTATGTCCAACAAGATGCCAGAGATGAGAACATCAGTGCATAACTCAGAAAATCATAGCTTTTGTTAAGTTGCGTCAATTCAAATCTGGTATTGGAACAAAAAGAGGTCAATACACGTCTTCTAAAATAGACTAGTATTTTAATTAATGCAAAACACTTCAATGGTAAATATGATGTTCGTATATACGGGTCCACTGAAAAACCACGCAGGGCAGACAGAGAACTGAGCCATTGTTATAAGTTCTTCTTTAAATACTCTGACAGAGGTAGTTCCTGCTCCAGGCAGGCCTATCAGAGTAGAGGCTGGGCGTGGTTTAAACTTACCCAGCCTATCGTTGGCCCACAGGCTGGTCCCAGCCCCTTGGCGCTTCACTGTTGCGAGTCAGCAACCTCAGACATAATTTGTTCTTCTTTGTAGCAGAACACATGTCCTTGAGCGGTTTAACAAAGAGGCAGTGTTTGTGTGAATCACAAGTCTGTCTCAGCCTACCCCCTAATAGTTCCTCACATTAATCACAGCTTGTTATATTAAACAATCTATATCAGTACAGTACAAACCTATTATGTTTAATCATTAATGCTTTCTTATTAAGCTAACAGCACATTAAAATATAAGAATTTCCCACACTTTCCACATTATACATCGATAGTTTGTTGAGCCACAGAGCTTTCTCGCTTTGCTCTTTTGACACACACAAAATCAACATAATTCTGCTCTTTGTCACTGACCGATTTCGCAATTCGTTCTTCACCATCTTCAAGACCGCAAACGGGTCACCCAAAAAAAAACATCCTTGCTCATGAATTGCACTACAACAATAAACTGCTTTACAGTTCCAACTTGAACCCTTTAAGCTCCATTCTTCTTTACCGTCGCCCACTCATTCTCACCAACTTTACTCGCGCCAACAGAATCGCACAATGCTTCCACTTCCGCCATTGCTCGCCCGAGGTCCTCTCCATGGTCAACCCCCAGACTACCAAAGCAGTGTGCGGATGCCTGTATCACTTTATTAGAAGCACGTCATCAATGGCGTCTGAAACTTTGTTTGATCACATGCTTTTTCAAACCTTGTGTTGCAAAATGTGAGATCCCACTGATTTTGTCGTGGTTCTGGTGCTTTCTTCGATTCCAAGCTGCATCCAAACACCGACCTCTACTGGACAACGTACTTACAAATGAAGTTCGGATTTTTTTACATGTAGGCCTAGTTTTATTTGACTGGTAGCTTAGCAGGTAAAGTAGGGCGCTATGGAACATTCAGCAATATGAGGGTGTTGGGTCGAATATCGGAGAAGGACAATTATTTGGGAAAATGTTTTATGTGAAACCACACTCTTTGCACATTGTTGTTCAAATAATTCGTTTTATTTCTTATAGTATAAGCTTCTGTCTTATGCATCCTAAATGCCATAGATTCAGTTTTTTTTAAATAGTTAAATGCAAAAAAGGGGAAGCATGATGTAAGATGCAAACCTGGTATTCCAACTGAAAGTAGGCTACTAACACCTTCCCTTACTGCTGCGCCACAGAGTTTTGATGAAAATCAAATGCTGCAATTTATTGCTAACCAACAGATGTCACTAATGTGCATTGTGAACCGATAATGAAGCTCAGAGTAGGCCTAATTAACTGTTTTCCGGCACAATTTGGTGAAAGCTCAGAAGCCTTCAGAAAGCCTTGGTTTCCCATCACTACTATTGAGTCATTGAACTGCCTTCAGACAAAAAAGCAAAAGCATCTCTTTTTGAAGGGCTCATTTTGGTGAACATCAGGAACCAAATCACATCAGTCTGTCCTATCTAGTGTAATTATTCTGTCTTATCTGGTGTCCTGTGTGAACTTAAGTATGCTCCCTCTAATTCTCCCATCTCTCTCTCTCTCCCCTCCCGGTGGACCTGAGCCCTAGGACCATTCCTCAGGACTGATGACTCCTGGCTGTCTCCAGTCAACCTGGTCATGCTGCTGATCCAGTTTCTGTTGTTTTGCATGTGGCTATGGAACCCTGACATGTCCACCGGACGTGCTACCTTGTCCCAGACCTGCTGTTTTCGCCCCTCTCTCGCCCCCTCCCTCTCTTTCTCTCTCTCTCTCTTCCTCTATATCTCTCTCTCTCTGCTGCACCTGCTGTCTCCACCTCTGAATGCTTGGCTATGAAAAGCCAACTGACATTTACTCTTGAGGTGCTGACCTGTTGCACCCTCTACAACCACTGTGATTATTATTTGACGCTGCTGGTCATCTATGAACATTTGAACATCTTGAAGAACGATCTGGCCTTAATGGCCATGTACTCTTATGATCTCCACCCGGCACAGCCAGAAGAGGACTGGCCACCCCTCAGAGCCTGGTCCCTCTCTAGGTTTCTTCCTAGGTTCCTGCCTTTCTAGGGAGTTTTTCCTAGCCACCATACTTCTACAGCTGTATAAGCACTGTGTGACATCTGCTGATGTAAAAAGGGCTTTAGAAATACATTTGATTGATTGATCTGTGAAAGAGCCATTCATTTGGCTTCCTGATTTGCATACTGATACTATTGCTTTTTGAGCTTCAGACATCGATTATCTGCAGATCAATTATTAAAAAAACATTCTCTGAAGATGGTAAGGAACAATATAGGGAGGAAAGAGCCAAATTCTGGTCAACGCTACATTTTTCAGCCCATAACATTGTTTCTTCTATTTTTTGCAGGCCATCTAATAATTTGGTCAGATAAAAATGTATTTGAAATCACATTTCATGGTTTGACATAATGGTAGGCAACGTTTTAGGCTTTAAATGGGAGATTTACACATTTTTCATGGTTTTAGGTACATTTCTAAGCACTTTAGACAAGTTTCTGCTTATAATTTCAAAATTCAAAAGGCACTTGCACATCTGAGCTATCTTTTTTGCAGGTGCCTGGTAACAGTTGAATAAGATGAGAAAAAAAATAAGAAACCCGCACACTGCTCTTGCTAGTATCACTGCTCTTTAATAAGCTTTACGTATCACTGCTCTTTAATAAATAAAGGTTAAATAAAACATACAAATAAGCTTTACATATCGGCCTCAAGGCCTTCGTCAGCGCTTTTGTGAGAAAAAAAAATAGCACCCTACATTTGGTAGGCCATATTATAATTTCCGACATTTGGTAGGCCATTTGTTTGTCAACCATAGTTAGATACATTCTCTTCTGTCATAACTTGTTGCTCCAGAAGACTAAAAAAGTAGGCCTAGTTCTCAACAGAATGTATTTCATCTATAGAATGAATGCATTACTAATCTAGTTAACACCTGTAAAGTTGTCTGTTTCATTTACATTTTAGTCATTTAGCAGACGCTCTTATCCAGAGCGACTTACAGTTAGTGAATGCATACATGTTTTTGTTTTTTTCATACTGGCCCCCCGTGGGAAACGAACCCACATCCCTGCCGGCCAAACCCTCCCCTACCTTGGACGACGCTGGACCAATTGTGCGCCGCCCATGGGTCTCCCGGTCGCAGCCGGCTGGGGATAAAACGCAATAAAAACGCAATACCTCCAAAACAGTGGAAAGATTCGTCCTGTGCAAAATGTCATCAGTTTCACCAGTTTTAAGGAAATGAAAAGCAGAGAAAACGATGAAACACGTTTCTGATGACTTCAGTTAATCTTGGGTGCATATTGTATGTTGTTGAAATACTGTGTTTGCGTAACAGTGTCAAAGATAACACATTACACATGCATTCCATTTTCTCAAGGGATGCTGAAAGAAAGAAATCACATCTCTCCACTCATGTTCCCGAGATAATTAACATTTGTTGTATCATTTTACTGCAAGAAATGCACAATCCTGCAGGAGTTCATATTATATTACTCTACATGTGAGCGGTTATAGGCCTACAATCAGTGTCCATATTTCAGTTACTGTTCCATTCAACCCATATGAACTTCAATTAGGAATATTCTGTTTATTCATGGTTACAGGGATAGCCTACTCGTGAGCGGAAAAATCAAAGGTACATGCGTGTAAACAGTTTATCCTGAATAACACCTTAAACGGGCTAAGAGCTAATATCCGGAATGCTGTGCGCATGTAGCGTCTTGTGGACGTTTTGACTTTTATTTTGAAAACATATTTCTCGTCTATTGGAAACTCCGACCACTTCTACGACTGTTCGTTCCTTACGTTTGTTCTGAGTTCTCTCCTCACAACTACCTACTTTTTAGTGATTTAATAATGTCTTTGGAGGTGGAATCAGCAGAGTAAGTATTCTAGATATTCATATTTGCACAACTGTAAATGGTTGTTTGATTTGTTTCTTTATTAGGGTTCACGTGGCAGGTCTAAACTCAGTTGAGGCCTACCAGTATCACAACCTGCAAGCAGCTTGTAGCCAGCCCCAGCTAGCTAAGCTAACATCACTTTGCTAACGTAGCTAACCAACCTGCTTGTTAGTTAGCTATGTTTCATTAGTAAGCGTTGTGTATGTTTTTGTAACCACCAGTGGTCTTTTAGCTTATGTTATGATACTCTTGCAGCCATATAGTATGTACTATCTAACTTAACCGTTCTGATAGGCTAGCTAGCTACATCGTTAATCAACCCAGCTAGCTAGCCACTAGTTTGCAAGCGAACAAGATAGACCGAGCTTGTCTTGCATCAAAACATGACGTACCTTGATGGAGTCTACCTTGATTTTGCAGCGTGATTCGTCTGATAATGCAATACCTGAAAGAGAACAATCTGCACCGGACTTTGACCACCCTTCAGGAAGAGACCACCGTGTCTTTGAACACTGTGGACAGTATCGAGAGTTTCGTGGCAGACATCAACAGTGGCCATTGGGACACTGTGCTGCAAGCTATCCAGTCACTCAAGCTCCCTGACAAGACTTTGATAGACTTGTATGAACAGGTAAGACGTTGTCATGAATCTTGTTGGTGTGTTGCATTTAGAATGTGTATGCACCAGAACTGTATTCACCAGCTAGCTCTCTACTGCTATGTCAATATGCTTTCTGTAAGATGAGAGTTAATAGATTTCTTTGTTGCCCCCAGGTGGTGTTGGAGCTCATTGAGTTGAGAGAGTTGGGAGCAGCCAGGTCTTTGTTAAGGCAAACAGACCCCATGATCATGCTGAAGCAGACCCAACCAGAGAGGTACATTCACCTGGAGAACCTACTGGCTCGCTCCTACTTTGACCCCAGAGAGGTGAGTTGACATCTCCCAACATTACACCCTGCACAAGGGAGATATAACTCCGTATGCACTATTTTCCAGGTTATCTGTCATGAGTCTGGTTATCTGTGCATCAGTTGTGTGCCTGAACATCCTTTTATTGAACACCAAAAAATAACCTTCACTTCACTTGTGTTCCCCCTGAAATAAAGCATAAAGAAATGTCCTATAGAGTTTTGACTTTGGCATTTGTATCTATTTCTTCCATTGTCATTCAGAAATGACCCCTGGCCCGGTTTCCCAAAAGCATCTTAGGGCTAAGTTCATCATTAGAACCTTTGTAGGAGCATCATTAAATCTCTGAGCTGTGTCCCAAAACCATTGTTACTAAAGTTGCATTTGAAAACGCTTGTTATTTAGAACGGCTAAGTGTGTTGTTAGATGCATTTTTTGCCCTTCCGTGTAACTTTATATACAGAAGATCTCCGCTAAACACACAATCAAGATGTTTATGTGTCTCTGTGACCAATAACATCAGAATGAGATCAACTACAAATAAAAAGTTGTCAATGTTTTTGCAATTGTTACAAACAAGCGAAGGATAAAAATATGAATTAAATGAAAACCGATGACTGTATTAAAATATGAATACAGTTTAGGCTACATAGGCCTATATATTGAAATCAATTTAATGTTCATTAAATTTAGTTATATTTTGCTAATTGCAGGCTACTGTCTAATTTTTGCCACAATATATTTAATGATATGTAACAACGTGTGCGATAATGTGCCAAATCTTGATTTAATGCATTATTAGCCTATTGGGTAAGCATTAGAATAAGCCGCCTCAACATTTTCAGCCATAGGTAATATCTCTTCAGGAGCTGATCCGTCGTCAGTATTGTGGAATAAATACAGTGCTGCTTGAAAGAATGTGAACCCTACAGGGCTGGTCATTATTTTGCTATAAAATATTAAAATAAACATATCAAATCCTTATCTAAACCCCAATTCGTAATAAAGACATTCCAAGTAAATGACAGAAACAAAAAAAAATGATATATTTTCATTGTTTATTTAACAAAAGTGGTTTATTTAACAGAAACTCAGATTTGATGTGTGCAAAAATATGTGAACCCCTTCAGTCAATGGCTTGTGGCACCTCCATTAGCAGTGATAACTTGGACTAAATGGCTCCTATAGCCAGTAATCAGTCTCTGACATCTGTTTTGAGGGATTTTTGCCCACTCCTTACAGAACTCAGCCAGCTTCACGTCCTGCCACAGCATCTCAATTGGATTTAGGTCAGGACTTTGACTTGCCCAATCCAAAACACAAATCTTCTTTCTCCTGAGCCATTCTTTGGAAGATTTGCATGAATGCTTTGGGTCGTTGTCTTGGAGGAAGATCCATTTTCGGCCCAGCTTTAGCTCCTTGACTGATGGCCTGACGTTCTGTTCAAGAATCTCCTGGTTCCCTTAATGATGTGGAGTCTTCCAGGTCCAGAGGAGGAAAAGCAACCCCAGATCTTGACATTCCCACCACAATGCTTGACTGTTGGGATAAGGTTATTTTGGTGGTAGGCAGTGTTGGGTTTTCGCCAAACATAGCAGTGTTGATTGTGACCAAAAAGGTCAATTTATTATTGTTCTTGGGGATATTTTGGAAGGGCGGCCACTTCTAGGCCGAGTCGCTAACATGTTAAATGCTCTTCATTTGTAAATTATTTGCCTCACAGTGGACTGATGGAGCTCAAATATTTTTGAGATGATTTTATAGCCTTCCCAAGACTGATGTGCTCTCACTACCCTCGTCCTGATGTCCTCTGAGATCTCCTTTCCTCTCGGCATGGTGTGCTTTGCATTCACCTGGATGGGTAACACCAAACTGACCAGGTTTCTTATCTCTCTTTATCAGAGTCCCGCCCAAACTCTTTCCTAACGATCTCTCCTTTGATTGGTGCGTTTAGTAGCTAATTATTTACCCACCTGATTCACTTATTTTTGCACCTGCGCTAATTCCTTTTTAATTTTGTTTTTGTACTAGACGCATGATTTCCTCTACACCTGTTATGTCAGATCAAAAAGACTGGTTCTCATTAAATGAAGATTTCATGGTAAAAACTGAAAGTCTGTAATTGCACAAGGGGTTCACATACTTTCAAGCAGCACTGTATAATGCAATTTTTTAATGGAGAAAGCTGATCCGAGAGCGGCGCTGCCTTTCTTTCAATCCTATCAGTGTCAACACAGGCCTCAGCGATGCACTTAGCGAACATTTTCTCTTCATGTTTTTTTGGGAAATGTTACATCTTTGGCCATTTGAAAGAAGGGTGCATCGTTAAAACACTCGTAAGCCTAAGTTCCATCGCTATTGGGAAACCGGGCCCGGGTCGGTTTTTGTTGTGGGCTCTTACGAGTTCCTGCAGTCTTGTGTTTGTGTCATTGCTCAGTGTCTCTGTGCTCTCCTCCCTCTGTGTCCTCCAGGCCTACCCAGACGGAAGCAGTAAGGAGAAGAGGCGCGTAGCCATCGCCCAGGCCCTGGCCGGGGAGGTCAGTGTGGTGCCCCCCTCCCGTCTCATGGCCCTGCTGGGACAGGTGGGTGACATGTTCCTATACCTCTGGGCATCCATAGGGTCTTTTCACGTTAGTTCAGCACATACAATCTGATCTACGACCAGGCTAATATTCTGTTGCAGCAGCTTGACATCTCACATTTGAGACCACCGATTAGTATGTTAACCACCATCTCTCTCAGTCCCTAAAATGGCAGCAGCACCAGGGTCTCCTACCCCCGGGTATGACCATTGACCTGTTCAGGGGCAAGGCAGCCGTGAAGGACGTGGAGGAGGAGCGCTTCCCCACACAGCTCACCAGACATATAAAGGTACTGTATGCCCAGATGTGGTACTGTCAGTGTATTTTATTAGTGAGGATGTTTTTTTTTATGTTACCTCTTTGCCATGTCTTTCTTACAACAGAGATTCCTGTATCTCAATGGTACTGGCTTGGTTATGCAAAGGATAATTGAATCAAATGATGCATGACAACAAGAACAAGGAGTGCTGCTTGTGTTTTTATAAAAATGCGGTGTTATTCTTACTAGTTTGGGCAGAAGTCCCACGTGGAGTGTTCCCGCTTCTCTCCTGATGGTCAGTACTTGGTCACGGGATCAGTTGATGGTTTCATCGAGGTCTGGAACTTCACCACAGGCAAAATCAGAAAGGTGCGTGTGCGATCCAACACCAAATGATACTCGGATTTGTGGCAATTTGAGAAATAACACTGGATTTCAATTCATGGAGTTTTGAAAATACCCTTGCTAGCGTTTCGTAAAATGACCTAATCAAATGTTTGTGTGATAGGATCTGAAGTACCAGGCGCAGGATAACTTCATGATGATGGATGATGCAGTGCTGTGTATGTGCTTCAGCAGGGACACAGAGATGCTGGCCACAGGAGCCCAGGATGGCAAAATAAAGGTATGTACTGTAGTGCTGAGCGATTAACCGAAATGTTGGTTATTTTCCAGTTTTTAAACAACTAATTGACCAACGTCGGTTAAATTATTTGAATTCCATTTCGTTCTGGTTTTTTCTGTGAGCTCGATGTGCAGTTTCTGTAGAGATAAATCAGATCATGCCTGAACTGTGCGATGTAGTAGGGAGTTGTAGTTTCCAACAGGCCAATATTCTACATAGTTTAGCGCAGAAAACGTGGTAATTAACTACAATAACCATAATCCATTGCACACCTGCTTAAACTTGTCCGGTCTGTGCGGAGCTGACACGGAGACTGAGAGAACCGCGATCGAGAGGGATAGATGGATAGAAAGCAGTTGCTTCGCAAGCCTGAAAATGCATGATCTAAGTGGTTGATAGTTGGTATTCAGCAGTCATAAAAGTATGCCTTATTTATTTTGAAGAACTACTAAAATAGTGATTTAGTCAGACAGCATAGGCAGCAGCTATAAAGAGATGAGATGATGATTTGGAATTAAATAATAGTTGTCAAATAAAAGTAATGATGGTTAATAAGTGATAAGCAGTAATGGGCAGTCACTACCATCATGGGACTTTCATTAATAGATTTATTCTGTGTTACAGCATTCAACCGACATAATGCATTGTGCATTTAATGTAAAAAAAAAAGATTGAACTCAAAAACAGTGATTAGTTTGTAATAATCGAACTGAAAACGAACTGACCTCAAAAAGCACTAATCGCTCAGCACTAATGTACTGACACTATAGAGCCTTTCAACTGTCAAAACAATAACACGTTCTACACTGAGTGTACAAAACATTAAGAACATCTGCTCTTTCCATGACATAGACTGACCAGGTGAATACAGGTGAAAACTAGGATCCCTTATTGATGTCACCTGTTAAATCCACTTCAATCAGTGTAGATGAAGAGGAGGAGACAGGTTAAAGGAGGATTTGAAAGAATTGAGACATGGATTAAGTATGTGTGCCATTCAGAGGGTGAATGGGCAAGACAAAATATTGAATATATTTTGAATAGGGGAAAATCCTAGCCAATTTTGAGCGCTGAGAGACTGTTTTACAACCGGGGTATGCAGCATTGGTTTCATCAACTGCACACCAGTATCAATAGCGGGTTGGACATTTGCGGTTATAGCCTACACAAGTGCCGGTGGAAAGTTATTTTAGGACATCAGACATGACAATGAAATGAATACATGCTAAATAGTTGACTAGGGAGTTAACCATCCAAACTATACAACATGTATTGAATTGGCTATCTAGTTAGTCTGTTAGACTATATAATTACTTTACCTGCTGCGCAATGTCTCGCTCGCTCTCTCTTCAGGCAACTACCCCACTGGCAAACATACAGGTGATGCACACACCATGACTTTTCCAGGATTTTCATTGCTGACCAAAAGTGAGCTATAACTGGGTAAATAACTAATTCACTAGCAATGAATATCAACATTTGCTCACACGCAGTTAGGCACACTTTGATAAAAAACAACACATCTCACGTGATTGAAAGACCGCTGGCGCCTGTCAGTGCAGGCCTGCAATAATTATACTCCAATGCGTTCCGAAGGACTCTTTGATACAATTCTGATCGGAGTAGCCTAATTGTTTGATATTGTGATTTTGGGGAGATTTATTTTGTACTTGTCCATTTGGACAACTTAATGTATAATCTGCTTGTCCGGCAATAATTTTTTACTTACCCCGGGCAAGCGGACAAGCTTTAATGTCGAGCCCTGCCATAACCCCACTGCCACCATGGGGCACTGTTCACAATGTTGACATCAGCAAACCGCTCGCCCACACGACGCCATACACGCTGTCTGCTAACTGCCCGGTACAGTTGAACTCGGGATTCATCCTTGAGGAGCACACTTCTCCAGTGTGCCAGTGGCCATCGGAAGGTGAGCATTTGCCCGCTGAAGTCAGTTACGACTCCGAACTGCAGTCATGTCAAGACCGTGGTGAGGATGACGAGCACGCAGATGAGCTTCCCTGAATTCTTTGGTTGTGTAAACCTACCGTTTCATCAGCTGTTCGGGTGGCTAGTCTCAGACGATCCCGCAGGTGAAGAAGCCTGATGTGGAGGTCCTGGGCTGGTGTGGTTACACGTGGTCTGTGGTTGAGGCAGGTTGGACGTGCTGCCAAATTCTCTAAAGTTCTTATGGTAGAGAAATGAACATTACATTATCTGGCAACAGCTCTGGTGGACATTCCTGCAGTCAGCATGCAAATTGTACACTCCCTCAACTTGAGACAGCTATGGCATTGTGTTTTGTGACAAAACTGCACATTTTAGAGTGGCCTTTTATTGTCCCCAGCACAACATGCACCTGTGTAATGATCATGCTGTTTAATCCGCTTCTTGATATGCCACACCTGTCAGGTGGATGGATTATCTTGGCAAAGGAGAAATGCTCACTAACAGGGATGTAAACACATTTGTGCATAAGCTTTTTGTGCGTATGGAAAATGGGACCAATACTTTACATGAAGCGTTTTATATTTTTGTTCAGTATACAAATACTAGAACTGACACCTTGTGGTTATAATGTTGAACTGCATATGATTACACCAGGATCATACATAACATGAAGCAAACAAATATTTTGAAATTAAATCAAATGAACCTTTAAATATTCCTTTCTGCACACCCTCATGATGGTGATATTTGCTAATGATGTCTCTCTCCTGTGCATGTCATCCTTAAGGCCTACCTTCAAGGGTAGGGCTTGCACTAATCCATTTCATGACGGCATGTACACTAGCTGTAGGAGTCAAATCTTGTATCCTTCAACATGCTTAGCCTCATTGTCTAATGAAAAATAACCCACACTGCTCTTGCCAGTATCAGCCTTTTCTTTTCAAGATATTAGCAAATGATCCTTACACATGTTATCTCAGATGTAAGTGGTTTTTAATATTCCTAATAATATCATTTAAAATTGAGAAAACCTCAACAAAATGTCAACAATGTGTGACGACTTGCTAATCCTGTTTCAGTATAGAAATGACAAGCCTCATTGGACATGCCCACGAAGCCGATACTAATCCCATCATATGTCTGCATGAGGCATGCATGCCATAAATAATTTCACAACCACTGTAAGCAATGGAAGCAAAAGGGTAGAGCATGGATAGTGGAGGCAAGAGAAATACCCTGGAGAGTGAACACAGTGAAGGGTCACTTTTACATGGGCAGCAAAGTAGCCATTTTAATGTATGAGTTCCATCCCTGTATGGCTGACGGGGCCGGGACGCAAACCTTAATCAAATGAAGCTAGCGTGCCAACCACTGGAGAAGGAGAGTTGAATGAAGCAAAATTGCAGGAGGGGTGACGGGTGCTTTCGCAATTCATCCTCGATTCCTCTCATCACCTTCTCAAAACCCATTTGAGAAGAAAGTCAGAGGGGAGGGACCTTGTACCTTCTCCAATACAGTTGCGATAGGATGTGAGTAATCAAGGAAAGACAAAGTGAGACAAAGCCCTAGTAGTCATCGTGTGGTGATGTCACCCACCCTGAGACTTCAAGTATTGTTATCCTAGCCCAACCAAGATCATGGTTTTGGTAGGATAATGGACGCTGCTTTGCGGGTTTGAAGTGTTGTTGTGGACAGGGGTTGCATCCTAGGTCAGCCATACAGGGATCGTTACACTCACACCAATAATCAAGGACATCAGCTGCAACTGCAAATCTGTGCAATGTCAGACAAAATCAGAGTGAATGACAACCAAATAAAACAGACAAACAGGGAATGTTCAATGTCCAAACAATACAAAATACTTAATTCAAAGAATCAACACTTCATTTCATATCCTACAAAGACAGCTTATGTAAATGTTAGTGGGTTTAGCCATCCATCTTACTCCAAAACAAGAGATGATTGAATAGTTAAATGAATAGTGTCTAATACAAATAATCAGCAGAATGTCAGGGCTGGGCTGGAACAGAAACCAGCACACCCAGTAGCTAGATATCTAGGAGCAAGGTTGGCCATGCATGTTCTAAATCTATGTAATGTTACTTAACAGTATATTTGTAATCTTACAACCAATTCTAACAGTAAACCGATATCATATGTAACCCATTGGAGATATACCCTTCAGTCTCTCCAGGACTTGGGACCTTCATCTGCAGACCGGGTTAAGCAGCTTTCACAGGTCTCTGTATCTGAGGTTAGGAAACATCGAAATTAGACCAGGACTTGATTCATTATTCTCAAGTGATATAACATTTCATATTGTTGCAATTGTTTTTGTATTGTCATAGTTCTCTCTTTGGGACTGGAAATCTGTTTATTAGCTAGCTAGGTAGCTAACATTGTTGTTTTTAGCAGATCAAGCTAACATTTGTGTCATACATTTTTTGTGGGGATGGCTGTCTATCCTAATTATATGTAGCTATCTAGCTGACGTTACCTAGAATAGATGCTGTAAACCAATGACCTGTGTGCTACACATCATCCTGCGGCTAATGTTACTATCCATGCAGGCAATGCAGCCCGCTGCGATGCTTCTTTGGGAAATCTTTAAATTGCAAAAATAGATTTGTCTCTGCTCGTAAGGACCATCCCACCCATGAATACTATGGTCCAAATGCTAATTTTGACCTTGATAAAACAACTAGACTAAGCTAGTTAGCCTAGCTGTTTACAGCTGCGATGGAACAGCTGTTTACAAATGCACCGGAAGTTCTTTGGGGTTCCAGGGTTCACTTCCGCGCCTCCTTAAAAAGGTCTATAGGAGTTCTCACTTTTGATGTTCAAACTCTTGCATTGGGTTGAGTGGATACTCACACTACCGTCCCTACCTCATTTCTCCTCTGACAGGTATGGAAGATCCAGAGTGGCCAGTGCTTGCGGCGCTTTGAGCGCGCCCACAGTAAAGGTGTCACCTGCCTCAGTTTCTGCAAGGACAGCAGCCAGCTGCTCAGTGCCTCATTTGACCAGACCATTAGGTAACCTTCATAAATGAAACTATTTTTCTCTCATGCTTTCTCTTTTCTGACTTTCTCCTTTTTTCTGCCTATAGATCAGTGGTCACCAATGAACCATAACTGTTATGTTTTTGCGTTCCACAGGGTTCACGGGCTGAAGTCAGGCAAGTCGCTGAAAGAGTTCCGAGGACATTCTTCGTTTGTTAATGAAGCAACATTCACACCTGACGGCCACCATATCATCAGCGCTTCCTCTGACGGCACCGTAAAGGTATGACCCCCACGCTGCTAGAAGCCAACAGTCCCATAATCTACAAGTCGAACATCTCATTCCAAAATCATGGGCATTAATATGGAGTTGGTCTTCCCGTTGCTGCTATAACAGCTTCCACTCTAATGGGAAGGCTTTCCACTAGATGTTTGAACATTGCTGCGGGGACTTGCTTCCATTCAGCCACGAGCATTAGTGAGGTTGGGCACTGATGTTGGGCGATTCGGCCTGGCTCACAGTCTGCATTCCAATTCATCCCAAAGGTGTTCGATGGGTTTGAGGTCAGGGCTCTGTGTCAGGGCTCCAAGTTCTTCCACACCGATCTCAACAAGCCATTTCTGTATGGACCTCGCTTTCTGCACGGGGGCGTTGTCATGCTGAAACAGGAACAGGCCTTCCCCAAACTGTTGCCACAAAGTTGGAAGCACAGAATCGTCTAGAATGTCATTGTATGCTGTAGGGTCCTAGCCCGAACCATGGAAAACAGCCCCAGACCATTATTCCTCCTCCGCCAAACTTTACAGTTGGCACTATGCATTCGGGCAGGTAACGTTCTCCTGGCATCCGCCAAACCCAGATTCGTCCGTCGGACTGCCAGATGGTGAAGCGTGATTCATCACTCCAGAGAACGCGTTTCCAGAGTCCAATGGCGGCGAGCTTTAAACCACTCCAGCCGACGCTTGACATTGCGCATGGTGATCTTAGGCTTGTGTGCGGCTGCTCGTCCATGGAAACCCATTTCATGAAGCTCCCAACGAACACTTCTTGTGCTGAAGTTGCTTCCAGAGGCAGTTTGGAACTCAATAGTGAGTGTTGCAACCGAGGACAGACGATTTTTACGCGCTATGTGCTTCATCACTCGGCGGTCCCGTTCTGTGAGCTTGTGTGGCCTACCACTTCGCGGCTGAGCCGTTGTTGCGCCTAGACATTTCCACTTCACAATAACAGCACTTACAGTTGACTGGGGCAGCTCTAGCAGGGCAGAAATTTGACGAACTGACTTGTTAGAAAGGTGGCATCCTATGACGGTGCCATGTTGAAAGTACTGAGCTCTTCAGTAAGGCCATTCTACTGCCAATGTTTGTCTATGGAGATTGCATGGCTGTGTACTCTATTTTATACACCACCTGTCAGCATTTGAAGGGGTGTCCACATACTTTTGTGTGTACAGTGCATGTTGTTACGCTACAGCCTTATTCTGAAATGGATTAAATTGTTTTTTTCCCCTCCTCAATCTACACACAATACCCCATAATGACAAAGCAAAAACAGTTTTTTAGAAATTGTAGCAAATGTATAAAAAAATAAACGTATCACATTTACATAAGTATTCAGACCCTTTACTAAGTACTTTGTTGAAGCACCTTTGGCAACGATTACAGCCTCAAGTCTTTTTGGGTATGACGCTACAAACTTGGCACACGTGTATTTGGGGTGTTTCTCCCATTCTTCTCTGCAGATCCTCAAGCTCTGTCAGGTTGGATGGGGAGCGTCGCAGCATGTCTATTTTAAGGTCTCTCCAGAGATGTTTGCTCGGGTTAAAGTCCGGGATCTGGCTGGGCTACTCAAGGACATTGAGAGACTTGTCCCGAAGCCACTCCTGCGTTGTCTTGGCTGTGTGCTTAGGGTCGTTGTCCTGTTGGAAGGTGAACCTTCGCCCCAGTCTGAGGTCCTGAGCGCTCTGGAGCAGGTTTTCATCAAGGATCTCTCTGTACTTTGCTCCATTCATCTTTCCCTCGATCCTGACTAGTCTACCAGTCCCTGCCGCTGAAAAACATCCCCACAGCATGATGCTGCCACCACCATACTTCACCGTAGGGATAGTGCCAGGTTTCCTCCAGACGTGACGCTTGGCATTCAGGCCAAAGAGATCAATCTTGGTTTCATCAAACCAGAGAATCTTGTTATTCATGGTCTGAGAGTCCTTTAGGTGCCTTTTGGCAAACTCTAAGCGGGCTGTCATGTGCCTTTTACTGAGGAGTGGCTGCTGTCTGGTCACTCTACCATAAAGGCCTGATTGGTGGAGTGCTGCAGAGATGGTTGTCCTTCTGGAAGTTTCTCCCATCTCCACAGAGGAGCTCTGTCAGAGTTACCATCAGGTTCTTGGTCACCTCCCTGACCAAGGCCCTTCTCCCACGGTCGCTCAGTTTGGCCGGGTGGCCAGCTCTTGGTGGTTCCAAACTTCTCCAATTTAAGAATGATGGAGGCCACTCTGTTCTTGGGGATCTTCAATGCTGCAGACATTTTTTGGTGCCCTTCCCCAGATCTCTGCCTCGACACAATCCTGTCTCGGAGCTCTACAGATAATTCCTTCGACCTCATGGCTTGGGATTTGCTCTTATATGCACTGTCAACTGTGGGACCTTATGTTGACAGGTGCGTGCCTTTCCAAATCATGTCCAATCAATTGAATTTACCACAGGTGGACTCCAATCAAGTTGTAGAAACATTTCAAGGATGATCAATACAAACAGGATGCACCTGAACTCAATTTCGAGTCTCATAGCAAGGGGTCTGAATACTTTTTTTAAAATATACATTTGCAAAAAATTCTAACAACCTGTTTTCTCTGTCATTATGGAGTATTGTGTTTAATCCATTTTAGAATAAGGCTGTAACGTAACAACATGTGGAAATAGTCAAGGGGTCTAAATACTTTCCGAATGCACTGTATATACACTGCTCAAAAAAATAAAGGGAACACTTAAACAACACAATGTAACTCCAAGTCAATCACACTTCTGTGAAATCAAACTGTCCACTTAGGAAGCAATACTGATTGACAATAAATTTCACATGCTGTTGTGCAAATGGAATAGACAACAGGTGGAAATTATAGGCAATTAGCAAGACACCCCCAATAAAGGACTGGTTTTGCAGGTGGTGACCACAGACCACTTCTCAGTTCCTATGCTTCCTGGCTGATGTTTTGGTCACTTTTGAATGCTGGCGGTGCTTTCACTCTAGTGGTAGCATGAGACGGAGTCTACAACCCACACAAGTGGCTCAGGTAGTGCAGCTCATCCAGGATGGCACATCAATGCGAGCTGTGGCAAGAAGGTTTTCTGTGTCTGTAAGCGTAGTGTCCAGAGCATGGAGGCGCTACCAGGAGACAGGCCAGTACATCAGGAGACGTGGAGGAGGCCGTAGGAGGGCAACAACCCAGCAGCAGGACTGCTACCTACGCCTTTGTGCAAGGAGGAGCAGGAGGAGCACTGCCAGAGCCCTGCAAAATGACCTCCAGCAGGCCACAAATGTGCATGTGTCTGCTCAAACGGTCAGAAACAGACTCCATGAGGGTGGTATGAGGGCCCGACGTCCACAGGTGGGGTTTGTGCTTACAGCCCAACACCGTGCAGGACGTTTGGCATTTGCCAGAGAACACCAAGATTGGCAAATTTGCCACTGGCGCCCTGTGCTCTTCACAGATGAAAGCAGGTTCACACTGAGCACGTGACAGACGTGACGGAGTCTGGAGACGCCGTGGAGAACGTTCTGCTGCCTGCAACATCCTCCAGCATGACCGGTTTGGCGATGGGTCAGTCATGGTGTGGGGTGGCATTTCTTTGGGGGGGCCGCACAGCCCTCCATGTGCTCGCCAGAGGTAGCCTGACTGCCATTAGGTACCGAGATGAGATCCTCAGACCCCTTGTGAGACCATATGCTGGTGTGGTTGGCCCTGGGTTCCTCCTAATGAAAGACAATGCTAGACCTCATGTGGCTGGAGTGTGTCAGCAGTTCCTGCAAGAGGAAGGCATTGATGCTATGGACCGCCCGTTCCCCAGACCTGAATCCAATTGAGCACATCTGGGACATCATGTCTCGCTCCATCCACCAACGCCACGTTGCACCACAGACTGTCCAGGAGTTGGCGGATGCTTTAGGCCAGGTCTGGGAGGAGATCCCTCAGGAGACCATCCGCCACCTCATCAGGAGCATGCCCAGGCGTTGTAGGGAGGTCATACTTTTTTGAGCAGTGTATATAGCGTAAATTGACTTGTCTCCACCCAATAGCAGATTGTTTAATTCATGGTATGACCAGTATACCTTTATTTATAGCATAATATACAGTACCAGTCAAACGTTTGGACACCTACTCATTCAAGGGTTTTTCTTTATTTATACTATTTTCTACATTGTAGAATAATAGTGAAGACATTAAAACGATGAAATGTAACACATATGGAATCATGTAGTAACCAAAAAAGTGTTATTCAAATAAACAAATATTTTAGATTCTTCAAAGTAGCCACCCTTTGCCTTGATGACAGCTTTGCACACTCTTGGCATTCTCTCAACCAGCTTCATGAGGAATGCTTTTCCAACAGTCTTGAAGGAGTTCCCACATATGCTAAGTACTTGTTGGCTGCTTTTCCTTCACTCTGCGGTCCAACTCATCCCAAACCATCTCAATTGGGTTGAAGTCGGGGGATTGTGGAGGCCAGGTCATCTGATGCAGCACTCCATCACTCTCCTTCTTGGTCAAATAGCCCTTACACAGCCTGGAGGTGTGTTTTGGGTCATTGTCCTGTTTAAAAACAAATGATAGTCCCACTAAGCGCAAACCAGATGGGATGGTGTATCGCTGCAGAATGCTGTGGTAACCATGCCGGTTAAGTCTGCCTTGAATTCTAAATATATCACAGACAGTGTCACCAGCAAAGCACCATCACACCACCTCCTCCATGCTTCACGGTGGGAACCACACATGCGGAGATAATCCGTTCACCTACTCTGCGTCTCACAAAGACAAGCGGATTGTAACCAAAAATCTCAAATTTGGACGCCAGACCAAAGGACAGATTTCCACCGGTCTAATGTCCATTGCTCGTGTTTCTTGGCCCAAGCAAGTCTCTTCTTATTATTGGTGCCCTTTAGTAGTGGTTTCTTTGCAGCAATTCGACCATGAAGACCTGATTCATGCAGTCTCCTCTAAACAGTTGATGTTGAAATGTGTCTGTTACTTGAACTCTGTGAAGCATTTATTTGGGCTGCAATTTCTGAGGCTGGTAAGTCTAATGAACTTATCCTCTGCAGCAGAGGTAACTCTGGGTCTTCCTTTCCTGTGGCGGTCCTCATGAGAGCCAGTTTCATCATAGCGCTTGATGGTTTTTGCGACAGCAAAGTTCTTGAAATGTTCCAGATTGACTGACCTTCATGACTTAAAGTAATGATGGACTGTTGTTTCTCTTTGCTTATTTGAGCTGTTCTTGCCATAATATGGACTTGGTATTTACCATATAGGGCTATCTTCTATATACCACCCTACCTTTTCACAACACAACTGATTGGTTCAAACACATTAAGAAAGAAATTCCACAAATTAGCTTTTAACAAGGCACACCTGTTAATTGAAATGCATTCCAGGTGACTACCTCATGAAGCTGGTTGAGAGAATGCCAAGAGTCATCAAGGCAAAGGGTGGCTACTTTGAAGAATCTAAAATATTTTGATTTGTTTATTTCATAGTTTTGATGTCTTCACTATTATTCTACAATGTAGAAAATAGTTTTAAAAAACAAAGAAAAACCCTTGAATGAGTAGGTGTCCAAACTTTTGACTGGTACTGTATGTTCTCGGCTTTTGATTGTTAACCCTTGTCCGTGAATCTCTGTCAGGTCTGGAACATGAAAACCACAGAATGCACCAACACCTTCAAGTCCCTTGGCACTTCGGCCGGCACCGACATCACAGTCAACAACGTCATCCTGCTGCCCAAGAACCCAGAGCACTTTGTGGTGTGCAACCGCTCCAACACCGTAGTCATCATGAACATGCAGGGCCAGGTCAGGACTCAACTTGACCACTTACAGTCATTAAACACTTATAACTGAATGAGTATGAAGTATTCATTTTGAATATTTGAAAATGATAGACATGTAATGTATTACCTTATTCCCCCTCTGTCCTCCAGATTGTGAGGAGTTTCAGCTCTGGTAAGAGGGAGGGAGGAGACTTTGTCTGCTGTACGCTGTCTCCCCGTGGCGAGTGGATCTACTGTGTAGGAGAGGACTTTGTACTCTACTGCTTTAGCACAGTCACCGGCAAGCTGGAGAGAACCCTGACAGTATGTGTATTCCTAATCATCAATATTTTAATACCGTATGCCTTAACTGTGGAGGATCTCCTCCTACAATATTGCACCAATTTTCTTTATTTTAGGCTCGAAAGAAGCACGTTGTCCTCTTACATGCCACTGGCCACATTATATTCCACTTTTGTTTTGGAATGTCCGGTATCCCGGGATACCATGCTGTCACAATGTAAATGATGCAAGCATTTGTAGGCCAATGTATCTGTAGAATGACTACATTACCTATAATGTTCATTGATTGGTAATTCCAAATGACCATGGCAATTATGCATCACAATAGTTATATTAATATGCAACATGCAGCAATCCATGGTATCCAAGGTTGGCTACTATGAACTGAGCTGCTGTGCATATAGCACCCTAATTCCCTGTGTGAAATCTTCAACGGCAGATCTCAAGACCCACTGCCTGTTTTCCCCAAATCTTAAACTAACCCTCAAATCCTTTCAAATAATGCAAATAAAGCAAGGTGCATAATGATCACTATGTCTAAACATAGGCAACAAACGTGAGCTGGTAGATTAGTCCGCCCACACGGGAGAGATGGAGATTACATTCCCAGTTTGGATGCGCATCGGACATGCAGGACCAGCCCTAACATATAGGCCTACTGTTTTTATTAACATAGGTCTACCATGAAGCCATGTTATCTATCAAAACATGTAATTTTAAAGAGAAAGCATGTGCCATGATCCGACAGGAAATAGGCCTATGGGAGTTGTTTTTTTATGCTCCGGAGAGTATATTACTGGTATATATCCAGACACCCAAAAACTGAACAGATGAATGCATTTTGATTTGCAGGTGGGGTGAATTGCATTGCAATCATTAAAAACATTTACCTCAAGCCTGGTTAAAACTGTTACTTCCCAATTATAAAAATAAGAGTTGTTTATTTATTTTCATGTGTGTTGATGTAATTTAGTCAGACAGGGTCAGGGACAATGCACGTAATTCAACATTGTCCATTCGGAAAGTATTCAGACCCCTTGACTTTTTCGACATTTTGTTACGTTACAGCCTTATTCTAAAATTGATTACATAATTTTTTGGTCCTCATCAATCTACACACAATATCCCATAATGACAAAGCAAAAACAGTTTTTTTTATTATTTTGCAAATGTATTACAAATAAACAGAAATACCTTATTTACATAAGTATTCAGACCCTTTGCTATGAGACTCGATAATTGAGCTCAGGTGCATCCTGTTCCATTGATCATCCTTGAGATGTTTCTACAACTTGATTGTAGTCCTCCTGTGGTAAATTCAATTGATTGGACATGATTTGGAAAGGCACACACCTGTCTATATAAGGTCCCACAGTTGACAGTGCATGTCAGAGCAAAAACCAAGCCATGAGGTCGAAGGAATTATCCCTAGAGCTCCGAGACAGGATTGTGTCGAGGCACAGATCTGAGGAAGGGTACCAAAAGTCACCTAAAAGCCTCTCAGACCATGAAACAAGATTCTCTGGTCTGATGAAACCAAGATTGAACTCTTTGGCCTGAATGCCAAGCGTCATGTCTGGATGAAACCTGGCACTATCCCTAAGGTGAAGCATGGTGGTAGCAGCATCATGCTGTGGGGATGTTTTTCAGCGGCAGGGACTGGGAGACTAGTCAGGATCGAGGGAAAGATGAACGGAGCAAAGTACAGAGAGATCCTTTGATGAAAACCTGCTCCAGAGCACTCAGGACCTCAGACTGGGGCGAAGGTTCACCTTCCAACAGGACAACAACCCTAAGCACACAGCCAAGACAACGCAGGAGTGGCTTCAGGACAAGTCTCTGAATGTCCTTGAGTGGCCCAGCCAGAGCCCAGACTTGAACCCAATCAAATATTTCTGGAGAGACCTGAAAAGTGTGCCAAGCTTGTAGCATCATACCCAAAAAGACTTGAGGCTGTAATCGCTGCCAAAGGTGCTTCAACAAAGTACTGAGTAAAGGGTCTGAATACTTATGGAAATGTGATATTTTCGGGGTTTTTTATACATTTGCTCAAATTTCTAAAAACCTGTTTTTGCTTTGTCATTATGGGGTATTGTGTGTAGATTGATGAGGGGGAAAAAAACAATTTAATCAATTTTAGAATAAGGCTGTAACGTAACTAAATATGGAAAAAGTCAAGGTGTCTGAATACTTTCCAAATGCACTGTATATTATCACACCGGATAGGTGGAGTGAAATGTGTTGTTTTACAGGGTCAGCCATAGTAGGATGGTGCCCCTGAAGCAAACTAGGGTTAAGTGCCTTGCTCAAGGGCACATTAACAGATTTTTCACCTTCTCGGCTCGTCGAACCAGCGACCTTACGGTTACTGGCCCAACGCTTTAACCACTAGGCTACCTGCCGCCCTCGTTAGATTAATGTGAAATTGCCTGGATTGACTATAGCCTAAAGGTTGTATTAGAATCTCATCATGACATCTCGTCTCCCCTACCCCAGGTCCATGAGAAGGATGTGATTGGCATCGCCCACCACCCCCACCAGAACCTCATCTCCACGTACAGTGAGGACGGCCTACTCAAACTCTGGAAACCCTGAGCATAGCCCTGCTTAACCCCACAAGCCCCCTTCCATCGGCATGCCAGCTGCTCTTCCCATGGGACTGTGCAGTGCTTTCCCTACCATCTCTTTACTGCAGGCCGGGTAGGGTCTCCCATCTAGCTCTGTTGTTCATGCCAAAATGCTTTGGCCCCAATTAATATCAATTGGCAGTCCGTGTTGCTGTTTTGGGGCTCCTGCGCTACGCCTAAGACGAGGTCTAGCGGGGGGAAACACTGGGGTATTGGGAGTGCAGGCGTAGGCATTAGAAATACTTGTTTTTTATATATAAAAAATATTCATGTAAATATATTTTTTAATTGCATTTATTATGATTATTTTTACTGCACAGCAAGAAATAAAAAGGGCTGTCATTTGTCTGGTTAATTACTCATGTTGATTTTTGAATCCCCAAATCCTGATGATATTCCTTTTCATGTGTGTTGACTTGTGTTCCTAGATGTGAAACGCATGGATTGTTATGTGTCAGTGGTTGACTGGATTTACATGTACAATTTCTTGTCTGGGCCATTAAAAATATATTTGACCAGGAACATAGTGAAAGTATTTTGTTTGTTTAGCTGCCCTCTTATTGAGCCTTGACAGTCAGATATACAGTATAAGATATATTCTAGTGCAACATCCAACACTTCGCTCTTGGTAACAGCAGGTCTCTTTATGCCACCAAGTGGGATTAAGGTAAAAATACTTGTAATTTGTGTTCTTTCATGATATTTTTCCTGCAGACACTCGATTGTTCCAACAAATGTTTTGGGTATCTCTTACCATTAAACCCACCTTTCTGAGAACAATTTAGGCATTTAAAATTATCACAAACAACGTAAATGCAATTCGGATACATCAAATTATAATACTGAGAGAGAATAACGTTTTTTTCAGGCTCTGGCAGTCTGGCCCTCCAACTGGTCAGGGCCCAGTTTCTCGATAGCGATGGAATTTAGGCTTAGGAGCGTTTTAATTATGCAGCTTTTATACAACGGCCGAAAATGTAACATGCGTTTCCCAAGACACCGCGCAGAGAGAACGGTCGCTAAGTGCATCTTTGGAGCATGTCGATTACTGATAGGATCGAAATAGAGGGAGCGCTGCTCTCGGATCAGCTTTCTCCATTCAAATCTTTCCTTAACATTCAAAATATTTAACAATACTGACGACTGATCAGCTCCTATAGAGATATTACCACCTACGGCTGCAAATATTGAGGTGGCCGTCATTGTAAATAAGAATTTGTTCTTAACTGACTTGCCTGTTAAATAAATAAGTAATGCTTACCCAATAAAAATGCGCTAAATCACCGATTTGGCTCATTAGGTCAATCTCAGGGGCAAAATTGAGGTGGAGTTCCTAGTCTGTGAGGATTTGAGTTAGCCCAATATTATATATTAATATTATTTCATTGATTAGATGAGGTCTAAGGGCATTCCATAACTACTGCATTTGAGATAACTAATGGTCCAATGGACCAGATAATGGCAGGAAGGTGGGGAGGTTGTGCAGCCTGCCAATTTGACGAGCCGTTCCGGCTTGTTGACCCACACCAATTTTGTGTGGGCCCAATTTTTATTTATAGAAAAAAACATTGTGAAACACTATCATTACACTTTTACTGCAGATATATTAACCCAATGAGTCCAACCGTGACACAGGTGCAATTTAGACTTCTAACCCCTTTTAAACATTGCGTGTTTGAGCTACAGACTTCTGCGTTGTACCATTCGATTTGCGTGATTTACGGGGGCTGAGCTAGAGCAATGTTTGTGAGATACGGGCAGATCCCGAAGGGTCTTTTTACAAAAACGTCGAGTCCGAATGGTTGAGCTACAAACTATTAAAAAGTATCACTTTTGCTCACAAGCTACACGAGTCATTATAAGGTCAGGGGTTCTTCTACATAGAAGATCATGGGAGATTCCAGGACATAGTGCATATACTACTGTAATAAGCTCATATAGTTGCTGTCACAAACTCCACACAGTTGTCACTGACTAGTTGGATATTCATTTCCCAGTGAGCAAACAATTTCTGTACTTACAGCATTCCATATAAATTCATTTTTATCAGGTTTTTGCTTTGTAAATTAAACTCATGAATGCAACAGTTTATGTCAAATGGTTTTGTGTTCTACTTGTAGCCCTGGTTGTCCTGAAAAGAAAATGTTAAAACACTTAATTGTGAGGCTAAATATAAGGGCTGGACATGCAGATAAATGAAAGTCAGATAAATGAAAACGCCGATTTTTGCTGGGGTCTCGGGACTGATAGGGTTAATGAAATTTTCTGAAATTACAATGTAGACATTTTACATAAAGCTCCTTTAATTAACACCATACATAAATTGAATACTTAATAATATGTAGGAGAGAAACTCTTGGCTGCTTCCCAAATGGCAATCTATTCCCTATACTACTGTTGACCACAGTGGTGGGAAAAGTACCCAATTGTCATACTTGAGTAAAAGTAAAGAGACATGAATAGAAAATGACTCAAGTGAATGTCACCCAGTAAAATATTACTTGAGTGAAAGTCTAAAAGTATTTGGTTTAAAATATACTTAAATACCAACAGTAAATGTAATTGCTAATGTACTTAAGTATCAAAAGTAAAAGTATAACAATAAAACAATCCTTACATTAAGCAAACCAGATGGCAAGGGTTTCTTGTGTTTTAAATTATGGATGGCCAGGGGCACACGCCATCACTCAGACATAATTTACAAACTAAGCATTTGTGATTAGTGAGTCCACCAGATCAGAAGCAGTAGGGATGTTCTCTTGATAAGTGTGTGAATTGGACCATTTCCCTGTCCTGCTAAGCATTCAAAATGTAACGAGTACTTTTGGATGTCAGGAAAAATGTAGAGTAAAAAGTACATTATTTCCTTTAGGAATGTAGTGGAGTAAAAATAAATGTATAAAATATAAATAGTAAACAGATACCCCCAAAAACTACTTAAGTAGTACTTTAAAGTATTTTTAACTTAAGTTCTTTACACCCTATGGGCCCTGATCAAACTTAGTGCCATTTTGCACGCAGACTAAATATAATATCAAAATGGTATCTAGGCAACGCGTTAATTATGGACTAAATGCTAAACAGTGGAATATTTAAGGAAGCTAAATAGAAGCCCTTATGGGCCTATTGATCCCTTGGAAATCTCCGATGCAAAATGCTTTGAATTAAAAATAAAACAAATACAGGTAGGCTATATTTGGATTATTATAAAACAGTGAATGAAACACCGAGTAGTTGAAACAAATGTACTCTGTGCTCAGCGATCTGAAGCTATTCTTCTCGTTAAATTTTTCTCGACTGAGCCACGCTGGTTCTAACTGTTCTGTAGGCTACATGACTTTATGCATTCCCAATGACGTTTTAGATTGTGACGTTTATGAGCGCAACAAAGGTAACAAAATGATTGCCGTCACCCTGGCGTATCAAAACTGTCAGTGGTCGGGGCACAGAGCTTTCGGTTTTTGCATGTTACAGTATTTACACCATAACGTAAAAAGATGGACAACGACACTTTTTCTTACAAGAGAGAGTCCTGTAAAAGTTGATCAGGGTGAATGAAGGAGAAGGGAAAAGTCAGACAAGGAAAACGTCTTCCAAATAAATAAAAACACCTCTTCGGATACAGAGAACCCTAAACCGAAGAAGTCGTCCAGATCATCTAAATCTTCAACAGAGTTTGATGAAAAGAAGTCGAGTCCAAAGGGTATCGTCAAGTGCACCAAGTGTGTAGTCATCGATGTCGGGGAAGGATACCTGAAAGCCGTGTTCGTTGGGGGCGGTTGTGCCCTCGTGCGTGATTCCCAGTGTTGTGGGATTTTGCGCGCCAATGCCTCTTGCATTACAAACGCGGCTATGTGGGAGTGAAATCTTAGAAAAGTCAAACATATTCCACGTCAGCCCGGTGCATAATGGCATAGTAACGGGATGGGATGCCAAAGAGAGACTGTGGGAATACGCGTTCAAAACGCTGGGTATCCCAAGCAAAGAGGACGCCGTGCTTTTATGTGACCCGCCTTAGTCAGAGCACCAACAGAGAAAAGCTAGCCGAAATCAGGTTCGAGAGCTTCGGCACCCCAGCAATGATCATTGGAAACCAGTCAGTTGTATCCATATATTCCTATGGTAGGACCAGTGGACTGGTTTTTGAAGTGAGGGCACGGGTGCTCTTACGCAGTCCCCATTGCATGCCAAGTTACACGTCGTGCAGAAAACGCAGGATGAAGCCTTGACCTTTACTTACAGAAGTTAATGCAGGAGTCTGGAAAAAGTGTTTATTGTAATAAATTAGGCCTAATGGATGTCATCAAGGCAAAATGTTGTTACTGTATGTAGCCCCTGATATAGACATTGAACTAAAACAAAGAGAAAGCAACACGGTGCAATACAAGCTTCCAGATGGGAATTCTCCCTCATTGGGGAAGGAGTGTTTTCTTTGTCCAGAGGTGCTTTTCCAGCCAAATCTGATTGGATCCCGTGACCCAGGACTTCCTATTATGGTCATGAACTGGATCAATAAATGTGACATCAAACTGAAGCGTGACATGCTACAAAACATACTAATTTGCAGCGGCTCCACAATGTTCAGTGGTCGGTCTTCCTGAATGGTTGCAGAGCAAGCTCAACCAGATGGCACCATGCAGTGAGACTACGGTTGTGGCATCCCAGGAGGGTCAAAACACAGTGTGGCTTGGAGGTTCCATCCTTGCCTCCCTGTCCTCTTTCCAGTCACTTTGGATTCAGAAGAAAGACTGAGGAAAAAGGGCCCTCTGCTATTTTTCGAAAATGTTTCTGAAAGCAACGTTATAAATGTACCTGTATAGTTGGCAAATGAAACAGTAAATTGTAAATGTAAATTAACTAAATTGAACTATGTCTGCCTTTTCCATATCTGTGATAATATGAATAAGTTATAACCACATACCCATTACCGACATTATTTTGAGACCATTTAACAACACAGAGCTCTGTTCATAATACCTTAGTCATACAAGAAGGACAAGAGATCCAGTATACATCTTTATTAATAGGCTACATTTATGATAAGATGATTGATTGCTTTACAGTTAAAAAAAGATAACAGTGATGACAAAAAGCTACTTCAGAATACTCAGCTTCCACTTGACACCATTTCTCATCTTTGGGGGTGGTGGGGTCTCTGAATCTGCAAAGAGGAAGAGCATATTTTATGAATAAACTAAAAGGGGAATAAGAATGTAGTCAGGTCCATAAGTATTTGGACAGTGACACAATTTGCATCATTTTGGCTCTGTACGCCACCACAATGGATTTGTAAGGAAACTATCATGATGTGCTTTAAGTGTAGACTTTAATTTAAGGGTTTTGTCAAAATTATTGTATGAACCGTGTAGGAATTAAAACCATTTTTATACATAGCCCCCCAATTTTAGGGGCTCAAAAGTATTTGGACAAACTAACATAATCAAAAATTAAATTGTGAGTTTTAATACTTGGTTGCAAATCCTTTGCAGCCAATGCCTGCCTGAAGTCTGGAACCCATAGACATCACCAGATGCTGGGTTTCTTTCTTGGTGATGCTCTGCCAGGCCTTTACTGCAGCTGTCTTCAGTTCCTGCTTGTTCTTGGGGCGTTTTGCCTTCAGTTTTGCCTTCAGCAAGTGAAATGCATGCTCAATTGGATTCAGGTCAGGTGATTGACTTGGCCATTTCAGAATATTCCACTTTTTGCCTTAAAAAAGTATTGGGTTGCTTTTGCAGTGTGCTTTGGGTCATTGTCCATCTGCACTGTGAAGCACCGTCCAATGAGTTTTGAAGCGTTTGGCTGAATCTGAGCAGATAATATAGCCCTAAACACTTCAGAATTCATCCTGCTGCTTTTGTCAGCAGTCACATCATCAATAAATACAAGGGAAGCAGTTCCATTGGCAGCCATACATGCCCACGCCATAACACTACCTCCACCATGATTCACAGATGAGGTGGTATGCTTCGGATCATGAGCAGTTCCTTCCCTTCTCCATACTCTTCTCTTCCCATCATTCTGGTACAAGTTGATCTTTGTCTCATCTGTCCATAGGATGTTGTTCCAGAACTGTACAGGCTTTTTAAGATGTTTTTTTTTTGGCAAACTCTAATCTGGTCTTCCTGTTTTTGAGGCTTATCAATGGTTTACATCTTGTGGTAAACCCTCTGTATTTACTCTGGTGAAGTCTTCTCTTCATTGTTGACTCTGACACAGATACGCCTACCTCCTGGAGGGTGTTCTTGATATGGCCAACTGTTGTGAAGGGGTTTTTGTTCACCAGGGAAATCATTATTCTGTCATCCACCACAGTTGTTTTCCGTGGTCTTCCGGGCCTTTTGGTGGTTCCTGAGCTCACCAGTATGTTCTTTCTTTTTAAGAATGTACCAAATAGTTGATTTGGCCACACCTAATGTTTTTGCCATCTCTCTGATTGGTTCGTTTAGATTTTTCTGCCTAATGATGGCTTGCTTCACTGGCAGTGACAGCTCTTTGGACTTCATATTGAGGGTTAACAGCAAAAGATTCCAAATGCAAATGCCACACTTGAAATCAACTCTAGACCTTTTATCTACTTACTTGTAAATGAACTAATTAGGGAATAACACACACCTGGCCATGGAACAGCTGAGCAGCCAATTGTCCAATTACTTTTGGTCCCTTAAAAAAGGGCGGGACCACATATAAAAAGTGCTGTAATTCCTACACCGTTCACCCGATTTGGATGTAAATACCCTCAAATTAAAGCTGAATGTCTGCACTTTCAGCTCATATTCATTATTTAATTTCAACTCCAATATGCTGTGGTAGACAGCTAAAATAATAAGAACTTGGTCAATGTCCAAATATTTATGGACCTGACTATGACTTTAGCACCTAGTATTGCTAAACAAATAAGTAAATACTATGTTTTCAATAGCAATAAATAGGAATATTACTAAAACTGACCTTGGGTTGCTGAGGGTCTTGGCTGTTGAAATGAAGCCATGATGCTGTTGGCTGTGGAGTTAGGACCTGTGATCTGAAGAACAAAATGAAAACACAGGGTAAATTAACTATTTCTAAAAACAAGTCTGTGTGTGTGTGTGTGTGTGTGTCTCTCTCTCTCTCTCACCGGGGCCTGGGTCTGCTGAAGACCCTCCTGCCACACCTCAGGAAGGGCCACCTCTATCATTTGGAGAGCCTCCCCATAGGCCTGTTGCAGCCTCCCTGCCTGTCCGTCAAACTGGAACAGCACCAGGGCTTTCAGCAGGCTGTGCACCTCCTCTGCAGGGGTGGATCAAAACAATGTAAATCACACAGGAGCTGCCCACACCACTCTACCCTTTAAGTAGCACTATAACAAATATGAATGAGACGATTAAAAACGATTCCAACCAGATAACTGTAATTCTATTGAGGATTTCAGAGAAATGCCCATCATTATGAGTGAGAGTAGGCCAAATGGATGAAAGCGAGAGAGAGCGAGACAAAGAAAGGGAGAAGCGGTAAGAAAATAATGTGCATCTCCCACCTCTCATCTTGTCCACAGAGTGGATGATCTCTGCCAGGGCGTGCAGTAGGGCCATGTCCTCTAGGGGGCTCCCTTCCTTCAGACTCAGCTTCTTGCGCTCGGCCTTCCGGCGGTTCTTAGACGACCTCCTGAGAGACAGAGGTCAGTTCCTCTCTCATAGTGAGACAGCTGACACCTTACTCCCAAGTCCCAAACCCACCTCTACCCCCACTAGGTATTTCATGTAATTTATACAGATGTGTAAAGTGCTGACTCACGAGGAGATGCGGGAGTTACTATGTGAGTACTTGGAGCCGGCATGGCTGCCTGTCATCACACTACTGGCCTCTGAGTAGAGCTCTGCCTCTGGACAGTCTGGGACATCCTCATCTAGAAGGAGGGATGGGGAGACAGAACAAGAGAAAGGGAGAAACCGAGCGAGGGAGGCAGGTCAATATAACATGGACAAGCCCATTCTCAGAGCCTTAAAACGATTATAAACTGTATCCTTGTGTAAGTAATGCAACAATGAATGGTATATACCCAGTAACTCCAGCCTGGCTTTTTCCTTAAGCTCCCGTACCACAGCCAGACGGGTTTTGTGACGAGTGAACATCGCCCTCTGAACTTCCAGGTAGGAGGTCTGAGAACTACATGCTAAAGACAGTGTTCATAAAAACAATGTATATATATTTGGTGCCAAATTGATGACCTATTTAATGAATATACTGCACATTGAAAAATAATTAGCACATTGTCATCAAGAGCATTTCAATTCACCAATGGAAAAGGGGGGTTTACCTTCCAAGAGAGCTGGTTTGAGGTTTGTTTCAATGATGTCTTGTCTGTTGTACAAATACACCTAGTACAGACAAAAGAGAATGTCATTTTGTCTTGGTTTGGGCAGAGTTTGAAGAGCGTGTTGCACGATGGAGGCCATCTTGTTAACTCACCAGTCGAAGTGCTTCTTCCCAGACTGCACCTGTGATTAGAGCTGATATGGCCTCCTCACAGTCCTTGGCATACCGCTCCAACAATATGGCCGCCTCCGTATATCTTCTGAGCTCTATCAGTTTCTCTGAAATGATAGGGGGTAATATGAAACCAAATGAGCAACACAGATTGAATATAACAGCAACATTAAAGACTTGATGGTGGAGCTGTGAGGCGCTGAGTGCCAGACGTGGGTAGCCACTGTACCTGCCAGGTCCCTGGCCAGCAGTGCCAGCTGGTCGGATGGCAGCGGGATCTGCTCTGCCACACAGAGGGCGTTCCTCCAGCTAGCACTGCCCACAAAGGCCTGGAGGGCGCGGGTCGCCTCGCCGCAGCGCCACAGCAACAACCCTGCCTGCTCCGCCTGCTGCTGCTCCACCAGGTACTCGGCGTAGGCACAACTCAGCGCCTAGAGGTCAGGGTTGGAGGTCAGGGGTTAGAGGTCATAGACAACAGTAGCACACAGCGCGGCTACTTATTTTTTTAAATGTGTGATAACGCATTACCTTGTACTGAGGGCTGTCTGTTGGGTAGAGCCCCAGGGCTTCACTATACAGCCTCTGGTCCTTCACCAGATTTAGGGTCTCGTTGAAGTGCTCCTCACCTGGCACAAAACACCACACCCAGTTTAGGTCCTTCTTTTCAATGAAGTTCAATTAATTAATTGTCCACGTAATGACACGTTGAGATGACTATGGCAGGAGACACTCACCACACTTGCTGAGGTGATGCAGGGCCTTCCTGTATCTCTTGAGGTGTTTATCGATGGTGTAGCGCTGGTAATTGGGCTCTAATGTCTTCAGCATGTTCAGGAAGGGAAGGTACTCTTTGGGGTCCTTGAATGTTTGGGAAGGCAAAGGAGAATCAACCGCTTTAATACCCATAAAAATACATGTAAGTAGCACAGTCTTTTCTCTATTTGCAGTGAACGTCCAGTCGTCCACCAAAGTTTCTGCAGCAATGGCTTCATCAGGGTAGCTATTAGGTACTGTTTAGGTGCTGTTCTGTACAGTGAAGTACTACTGTCACTCACCTTTTGGGACTTCTCGGCCACCATGAGGACCAAGTCAAAGTCGTAGGTGCCCAGAGAGTGTTCATACAGCTCGTTGACATTGACCAGGAACAACAGGTACTTCAGAGCCTCCTCCGCACTCACTGCGTTGGCAGCACTGGGTGGGTTCACTACAAATACACAGGTTACAAACATAGATTTCAGATATCTTGTTAACAATTTCTTCCTCTTGCTGATCTGCTCGTGTCCGTTTTACCTCTAAGCTCGTGGACTTTCTGCAGGGCAATCTCCAGCTCAGGAACAGTCTTCTTCACATGTGATGTCAAAATAGACAGACAATACCTGAGGGTTATAACGACAGTATTATTCTCTCAATCAAGAATCTTGTGAAATAAACATGATTTGAGTACAATACTAGTTAAAATGCTCTGTAAATAGTGCAATACAAAATCACATTTTATTGGTTTTCATTGACAAAAAGGATAATCCATATCAAGAGCGCACTCACTTGTGCTGGTCCATAGATTCCATGGTGCAGCGCAACGCATCACACACAATATCCACCTTTTTCCCACAAGCCACAGGGGCTGACTGGCCTGTAGTGTTCACTGAACAAGGGTACATTGTTGTAGTGGTATCTTCCTCCCTAAAAAAGTAAAAAAATAAGTACATACTGAAACGAATGGCAATTTCCTAAAATGTATTACAAATGGGCATCGTTTGTCATTGTTGTAAAAAACAAAAAGGTTAAAGGTTCTTACTTGAGCTCTGTGAGGAACAGGTTGATGTGATTGATAGAGTCTAGCTGTCTCAGGAAGGTCTCCACGCTTTCCAAAAACACCTGCCAGAAAGGAAAAACAGTCTTGTTGTATGTGCCATTCCACACCAGAAGGTCACAGACAGGTTAGGTGAAAAAGAAGAAGTGACCTGGTTGTGTGTTTACCTACCTTGGGGCTGTGGTCGTAGATCAGGTTGAGGTTGATCCGCAGCTTCCTCATGCACTCAAAGGCCTCTCTGAACTTCTGACTGTCCAGCCACTTTCTGAGCTGAGCCAATACTAGCGCTCGATGGTGGATGGTCTCCAGGTTACCGCGAGGCATCTGCAGACACCCATCCAACACGTTCAACATCAACACGACCAGGGATGTTGCGCTAAACAATATGGGTAATAGCAATGATGTAACCTGGGATTTTAATCTGTTTTATGACAGACGGAACTGTTCAGACCTGTAGGATGAGCCTGGTGTCCTGGGGCACCACAGTGACGATTCTGGAGCCCCTCTCCACCCTGCGGAGAGTCTCGTCATTCTGGTCATTCTGATTCTGACCGTCTGCAGCCAAGGCCACCTGCAGCCCTTTGACAGTGAGTGTGCTGAGTCGGAGGCAGCGGCATGTGTGCGAGTGTGTGGTGAGCAGTAGGAAGTCATCGTAGACCACGAAGGAGGAAACGTTGGAGGCCACCTGTGGATGAAGAACAGAGGGAGGCAATGACACAATCAGGTTGGTGAATAAAGTCAAATGTTTTTAATGAATATGACTCAACTTTGCATTACATGAGTGGGGCAAGCAGCTAATTAATTAAATATTTTATTTTTTACCCCCTTTATCGCCCCAATTTCGATCTTGTCTCATTGCTGCAACTTCCCAACTGGCTCGGGAGGCGAAGGTCGAGTCATGTGTCCTCCAAAACACGACCCGCCAAACCACGCTTCTTAACACCCGCCCGCTTAACCCGGAAGCCAGCCGCACCAACATGTCGGAGGAAACACCATTCAACTGCCAACCGAGGTCAGCCTGCAGACGCCCGGCCCGCCACAAGGAGTCGCTAGAGCGTGATGAACCAAGTAAAGCCCCCCCGGCCAAACCCTCCCCTAAGCCGGACGATGCTGGACCAATTGTGCACCGCCCTATGGGACTCCCGATCACGGCCGGTTGTAATACAGCCCGGGATCGAACCCGGGCCTGCAGTGACGCCTCTAGCACTGCGATGCAGTGCCCTAGACCGCTGCGTCACTCGGGAGGCCCAGCAGCTAATTAATTAAAGTAAGAGGTGTGTTTGCATCAATCACAATGGTAACTCTGCCTTTGTGCTGAATCACCAAAGCAAAACAAGACATACCTCTGTCTCGCCAACAAACAGGTGAGATCGGTCCGTAAGCCCTAGCAGATGCTCCTGTTGACATTACCAAAAAATCCCCTTGATTAGAGACCAGGAGGTAGGTACTTTTGGCACATAATCAACATTATCAAATCACCAAATTATAGTAATATTGACATTTTCTGTGAGAACAGTATTCAGTTAGATTGTTTCCTTACCTCTTCTATGGTAAAGAGGGCCGTCTGCACACAGGGATCTGGAAAGTTGAGTCGGCAGCCTGTTGAGTCCTGCCACTCCACGACACTAGGCTTCAGAGAGTCTGGGGACACCATACACAGGTCCATTCATTTTTTTGAATCCTATTTGATCATTTTTCAAATGTACAGCTGGAGACATAAAATACATCTCATGATCGAACTCTGCAAGCAAGTCTACAAGCAATATTCTCATAATCCAGGAAGTAGTCGTTACTGACCCCAGAGGAACTTCCTGATCTGACCATCCTCCAGCTGCAATGCCACCGTGCCCGTCTTGGAGCTGTGACACATGCTGATCACGTGACCTTCCACCTCCACATGTGACCTGGGGATAGAAACAGTTAGGGGGACATTTGACAGCAGGTAAAAGTTGCGTTGTTGTCGTCAACTATAATTCCTTCATACCTGATCTCCAAGGTTGGCTGGGGGCCCTGGGCCTCTGAGGGTCCCAGGATGAGCAGCTTGGACTGGGACGGCCCCTCTGTACAGCCCACCACCCCCAGGAACACATCATCCCTCAGCCACAGCAGCAGACGCAGAGCCAGGGGCTCCTCCTGATCCACCGCAACCCTGCATCACGCAACACAGCCACATATGTAGTGTGAGGGTCATAATAGAAAAGGCTTTGGATGAATGACTGTCCCAATTGTACCTGTAAGTTGTCTTTAGCTGGGGAGGGTGTGTGACAGATCGGAATCCTCTCAATCCGGCTGCAGGCTCACTCTGTTCCCCAGTACCTGAACACACAACCAGACTTTATGGACCCAGTACCCATCTTAATGAATTAACAGCACAGTGTGAGTGGGAAAAGAGATGTAGAGGAAAAAGCGACCATAGAGATGCATGTATCAAGAGAAGAATAATGGCTGAGCAATAAGATAGGAAACTTCAGGTGGCCCACCTTGGCCATAGACAGAGATGTGTCCGTCGGCTGTGAGCGCTGCCAGCTCATTGGTGCTCTGGCGCTGGAAGGTCACCAGGTTGACGGGGGCGGGCAGCTGAAGGTCGTAGGCACACATGGGCGGGGGCACCACACACTGACGAAACGTTGACACTAGGACCTTATCTAGAAAACAGAGGCATTCAGACAAATGCGATGCCTTTTAGATGCTTCAAAATACTCCATATCTCCCCTTCTCTAATTCATCGGCCCTTTTTGAATACTTTAAAAAATGCACCTTTCCTTCCTCCCTGTCCTTGAGGAAATCACTGATCTGACACAGTACGGTTTGTGAAAGCAATGGAGGGTTGGAAACCATGTCTTCATCTATCCACTCACTTACAGTTGAAGTCGGAAATTTACATACACTTAGGTTGGAGTCATTAAAACTCGTTTTTCAACCACTCCACTAATTTCTTTTTAACAAACTATAGTTTTGGCAAGTCGGTTAGGACATCTACTTTCTGCAGGACAAGTAATTTTTCCAACAAGACAGATTATTTCACATAATTCACTGTATCACAATTCCAGTGGGTCAGAAGTTTACATACACTAAGTTGACTGTGCCTTTAAACAGCTTGGAAAATTCCAGAAAATGATGTCAGGGCTTGAGAAGCTTCTGATAGGCTAATTGACATCATTTGAGTCAATTGGAGGTGTACCTGTGGATGTATTTAAAGGCCTACCTTCAAACTTAGTGCCTCTTTGCTTGACATCATGGGAAAATCAAAAGAAATCAAAAAATTGTAGACCTCCACAAGTCTGGTTCATCCTTGGGAGCAATTTCCAAACGCCTGAAGGTACCACGTTCATCTGTACAAACAATAGTACGCAAGTATAAAAACCATGGGACCAAGCAGCCGTCATACCACTCAGGAACGAGACGCGTTCTGTCTCCTAGAGATTAACGTACCAATTTGTAAGTCGCTCTGGATAAGAGCGTCTGCTAAATGACATAAATGTAAATGTAAAAGTGCAAATCAATCCCAGAACAACAGCAAAGGACCTTGTGAAGATGCTGGAGGAAACAGGTACAAAAGTATCTATATCCACAGTAAAACAAGTCCTATATCGACATAACCTGAAAGGCCACTCAGCAAGGAAGAAGCCACTGCTCCAAAACCGCCATAAAAAATCCAGACTACGGTTTGCAACTGCACATGGGGACAAAGATCATACTTTTTGGAGAAATGTCCTCTGGTCTGATGAAACAAAAATAGAACTGTTTGGCCATGATGATCATCGTTATGTTTGGAGGAAAAAGGGGGTTGCTTGCAAGCCGAAGAACACGTGGGTGGCAGCATCATGCTGTGGGGGTGCTATGCTGCAGGAGGGACTGGTGCACTTCACAAAATAGATGGCATCATGAGGAAGGAAAATTATGTGGATATATTGAAGCAACATCTCAAGTCATCAGTCAGGAAGTTAAAGCTTGGTCGCAAATGGGTCTTCCGAATGGAGAATGACCCCAAGCATACTTCCAAAGTTGTGGAAAAATGGCTTAAGCACAACAAAGTCAAGGTATTGGAGTGGCTATCACAAAGCCCTGACCTTAATCCTATAGAACATTTGTGGGCAGAACTGAAAAAGCGTGTGCGAGCAAGGAGGCCTACAAACCTGACTCAGTTACACCAGCTCTGTCAGGAGGAATGGGCCAAAATTCACCCAACTTATTGTGGGAAGCTTGTGGAAGGCTACCCGAAACGTTTGACCCAAGGTAAACAATTTAAAGGCAATGCTACCAAATACTAATTGAGTGTATGTAAACTTCTGACCCACTGGGAATGTGATGAAATAAATAAAAGCTGAAATAAATCATTCTCTCTACTATTATTCTGATATTTCACATTCTTAAAATAAAGTGGTGATCCTAACTGACCGAAGACAGGGAATTTTTACTAGGATTAAATGTCAGGAATTGTGAAAAAACTGAGTTTAAATGTATTTGGCTAAGGTGTATGTAAACTTCCGACTTCAACTGTATATATCAGTGATCTGATCAGTAAATGTCAAAGACTACTATAAACAAGGTCTGTGTCTGAAACTTATCTCCCACACTAACTTTAAGCATCAGTTGTCAGAGCAGCTTACCGATCACAGCACCTGTACACAGCCCATCTGTAATTAGCCCAGCCAACTACCTCATCCCCATATTGTTATTTATTTTGCTCATTTGCACCTCAGTATCTCTATTTGCACATCATCTTCTCCACATCTATCACTCTAGTGTTAATACTAAATTGTAATTATTTTGCACTATGACCTATTTATTGCCTTACCTCCATAACTTACTACATTTGCACACACTGTATATAGATTTTCTATTGTGTTACTGACTGTACGTTTTGTTTATTCCATATGTAACTCTGTGTTGTTGTTGTTTTTATCACACTGCTTTGCTTTATCTTGGCCAGGTCGCAGTTGTAAATGAGAACTTGTTCTCAACCGGCTTACCAGGTTAAATAAAGGTGAAATTAAAAATGTTAAACTAAAAACTCACCCCCGTCAATCACGGCCACGTTGGCGTTGTCCTGCCCGTCCTCCCCGTGGCTGCGGTCGGTGCTCCAGCCCCAGTCGTAGTTCAGGCTGGCCCAGCCTCGGGTCACCAGGTGCAGCCGCAGGGGCCTCTCAGGATCCCAGCTCACGTAGGCTGGTGCCCTCTGGGGGTCGCTGCCAAAGTACAGGTTCTGCTTCAGGTACCAGTGGTAGTTACCTACTGTCCACAGCTGAACTGGAGGAGGGACGGAGAGGGAGTGAGGCAGGGGTTAAAAAAAAAAAAAACCTATGGCACGGTTGGCTTCATCCTGGATACTATAAAGTATCCAGATCAGTTTAACATATTAGAACATCTGCTTGGTAAAAAGGCAACAAATTGACTGAAAGACAATTTGATTAACCCATGTTATAAAGTTAAGAAATAATATTGGGAGTAATTTGTAGAGGATCTTACTGTATGTGTTGACTTGACCGCCCTCTCCTGGTGTCATATCTTCCAGCCACACAGCCAACACAGTGGAGTCACTGTTCCATAGCAGCTCCTTCACCTGCAACAGTCACACAGATCTAGGATCAGTTGCCCTCCCCAAATCCTAACCATTAAGAAATGAAAATAGTGCAAATAGTCCGGGTAGCAATGATTAGCTGTTCAGGAGTCTTATGGCTTGGGGGTAGAAGCTGTTAGGAAGCCTTTTGGACCTAGACTTGGTGCTCCGGTACCGCTTGCCATACGGTAGCAGAGAGAACAGTCTATGACTAGTGTGGCTGGAGACATCAAAACGATTAAATAACACATGGAATCATGTAGTAACCAAAAAAGTGTTAAACAAATCAAAATGTATTTTATATATTTGAGATTCTTCAAATAGCCACCCTTTGCCTTGATGACACCTTTGCACACTCTTGGCATTCTCTCAACCAGCTGCATTTCAATTAACAGGTGTGCCTTGTTAAAAGTGAATTGCAGCCCAAATAAATGCTTCACAGAGTTCAAGTAACAGACATCTCCACATCAACTGTTCAGAGGGGACTGTGTGAATCAGGCCTTCATGGTCAAATTGCTGCAAAGAAACCACTACTAAATGACACCAATAAGAAGAAGAGACTTGCTTGGGCCAAGAAACACGAGCAATGGACATTAGACCAGTGGAAATGTGTCCTTTGGTCTGGAGTCTAAATTGGAGAGTTTTGGTTCCAACCGCCGTGTCTGTGTGAGACGCGGTGTGGGTGAACGCATGATCTCCGCATGTGTATTTCCCACCGTAAAGCATGGAGAAGGGGGTGTTATGGTGTGGGGGTGCACTGCTGGTGACACTGTCTGTGATTTATTTAGAAATCAAGGCACACTTAACCAGCATGGCTACCACAGCATTCTACAGCGATAGTCCAACTAAGCCCAAACCAGATGGGATGGCGTATCATTTGTTTTTCAACAGGCTGTGTAAGGGCTATTTTACCTAGAAGGAGAGTGATGGAGTGCTGCATCAGATGACCTGGCCTCCACAATCCCCCGACCTCAACCAAATTGAGATGGTTTGGGATGAGTCAGACCGCAGAGTGAAGAAAAAGCAGCCAACAAGTGCTCAGCATATGTGGGAACTCCTTCAAGACTGTTGGAAAAGCATTCCAGGTGAAACGGTTTGAGAGAACACCAAGAGTGTGCAAAGCTGTCATCAAGGCAAAGGGTGGCTATTTGAAGAATCTCAAACATCAAATATATTTTGATTTGTTTAACACTTTTTTGGTTACTACATGATTCCATATGTGTTATTTCATAGTTTTGATGTCCTCACTATTATTCTACAATGTAGAAAATAGTAAAAATAAATAAAAACCCTTGAATGAGTAGGTGTTCTAAAACTTTTGACCGGTAGTGTACCTTGACCTGTTCTTTGCCAAAGGGCAGGGTGAAGTCCCCGTGTAGGAGGCCGTTCTTCTCCATAAACACCACACTGTGCTTGTTAGGATGACGCTGCGTGGCTGCTATCAAACTACCCGACGGTCTGAAACAAGGCATTGGTTTCAATGTAGCTCAAATGCAAACCATGTTGTGATATTTGTTGTATTTGAGTTACCTAAAGCATAATACAACAAGGTGCTCAAAGATGTTGAAGGATTCTCCACAGAAATCTTACTTCCAACACAGTGACTGCTCCAGACCGTTGACGGTTTCACTTGTCGACTGTAAGACACACTCTCTGTTCCACACTCTGACCTTTCTGGCACCTGAAACATCACACATATGCAATGTATGTGATACCAACACAATCTACAGTATATATATTTTTACAGTAATTGTTTCACTTCACTCCACAGAGTTTGTGAAAAACATTGATTCTCACCAGTCTGGGGGCAAACAGCGCTCACAGCGAAGAGCTGCCCGTCTCCTCTCCACGTCACCCTTGGCCTGCGGTCGTCCCACGACATGGCCGGCTGCACCTCCTGTCACACAGAGAGAGAGGAGAGAGACAGTGAGACCTTCATCAAGTAGTGTTTAACTGCTCTTTTTAGGGTGAAAGATTAATAATATTCCTTACTATAGTCTTCCTCTGGGCAGCATGCTTGCCCTCTGAGCCATGGAACTGGGTCTCTTTCTTCCCCCAGCCCACTGTGATAAACTTCCCTAAAACACATAAAAGGTGTGTCAGTCAACCATATGCATAGTGTACATACATTGGGATTTTACATTACGATCCCATCTTTAATGTGATTTGATCAGTCTTACCCTCTCCAAAGTCATCCTGATGGATCCCAACCTCTGTGATGGGTTCAAAGTCTTTGGTCATCATGATAATGGTGTCCTGACCTGAAAGGTATCAAGAAAGAGAGCGCATTACTTCTGATGGCTCATGATAGACCCCATGAACAATAGACTATTAAGTCAATGACCATAATCTAGAGGTGGTTGGTATACTGACCAGTGGTGAGAGTGACCAACTCCTGGTCCGGGCTCCAGCTCATGGCTGACAGACCACTGTCCACACTGCCCACACACTCCAGCTGAGATGGACATGGACACACACACACACACACACACACACACGTGAAAACAGAGGCAGAACAGACCTGTTATGAGTAACGGTGTCAATGCACTCTTATGTAATTTCAATAAACAGGGTTACTACTTCAATCTTGATACCTGGTTAGTGTTCAGGTTGTAGAGAATGACATCACCAGTGGCTGTAGCCACACACACTGACTCCTGGTCTGGTAAGTCTTGGATACCAACAACTGTCCCACTGCCATCCTCTGGAAGATAGCTCTCAGCTGTCAATGACACCTCATTCACCACCTGAACATGATGGGTATAGGAATAGTTGAATACAGTGTGTTAGTGATGGGCTGCAACAAAAACCTGCACCATGTGGGTCTCCAGGAATAGGATTGGAGAACACTGTTATGCGTAACGTACCTGGCCAGCTCGTGTGTCCAACTCTGTGACGGAGTATTCTGAAGCGATGAGCACCGTGCCTGTGTCCGTCCGAACAGAGAAACATTGCGGCGTGCCTGGGCCTTGCAGCTCCAAGCAACGAAGGCTCTTCAGCAACCTCAAGTTCCGCATTACACACAAATCCTATTTACCTATACACAGATGAAGACAATGAGCATTGATTAGCATCTGTAGCTAGCAGGCTAGCCAATATGGAAAGGTAGCTAGCTAACTAGCTGTGCGTGCAGACAAGCCATGTTATTCAATGTTAAAATTAACATGAATAACAGCTACACGATGTGACACATAGCTAAGTAACCTACCTTTGCGTAGCTCCAATAATATTTACAAAAGCTAAAGTTAGTGCATCAACAACACAACACACATGCTGCAGCGATGTCAAATTGTTCACTTTACAACCCTGACGTAAAATGCTGAAAAACGTAGTGCCCTATTACAATGTCTCCCTCTTCCTGTACGGAGGGAGATTGCATGACTTTGACGACTGACTCAGTGCACCCAATTAGACTACACTCATCCCATTAAAAAAACTGGAAATCATCATACCAATCACACCATTCATATGGTGAATGCGTCCGAGCCAGCTATTCCAGAGAGGAAGAGGCGAAGCGAGAGGGATAACTGGGCTCAAAATATGTCTTCTCCAGCAAGTTGCGTTTTTTCGCTCACAAAGCAAGGAGTTTTTGTATGGAGTTCAATGAGAGAGTGTCGAATTTGGTTAACATTTACATTTTAGTCATTTAGCAGACGCTCTTATCCAGAGCGACTTACAGGAGCATTTAGGGTTAAGTGCCTTGCTTAAGGGCACATCGACAGATTTTTCACCTAGTCGGCCCGGGGATTAGAACCAGCGACCTTTCGGTTACTGGCACAACGCTCTTACCCACTAAGCTACCTGTAATGGCTTATTTGCTACGTGGTTGCTTATTTTATCGAATATAAGTTCTGTAATGATTAGGTTGTTACAAGTGTACTGATATAAGTAGGACACGTGACATCCTGGCAACTTTGAGAGAGAAAAAACACTTTATAGCCTATCAGTTGTGCCTGGTCATCACTGGTTACCACAGCCACAAAGTCATAAACCCCGCCCATTTATACAATTTATCTTCTTAAAATGAGATTTTAAACCTAACCTTAACCACTCTGATAAGCATATAGAGTACCACAGTATGAGTAATAATACTTAGAAAACCTAGCGGTCAAACAGGGAAATGGTTCCAATTGTTTTTACACCATTCATTTTTCCCATAGGGGATTTTAGAAACACTTAAAATATGGGCTGTGTTTCTTGTAGGCTTATCCTTGACAATTTATTGTTAAAACGAGAGGCTGCCTGGATCTTTAATTTAAAGACCCTTGCTCCCTTCGGTCTCAACGTAGACTTTGATTTGAAGCCATTCTTGTGATTTTGCTATTCATTGTAAATGTTGTGGGCCTATGTAGCCAAGTATCTATGATCATATGCTATCCATGGTTTTTGTATGTTGTTTTTATCTGTGAATTGGCCAATGCTATTAGGCCACACCCGGCCATGACAGACACCTGCGTGTGTCCTTTGACACTATATAAACTAGTGACCCGCAGTGTTTGTCATTATACCCTGAAGAAGACAGCTTGTCTGTCGAAACGTTGGTTATTAGGATATTAAATTATTGCATCTGAGCTCCTAGAGTGTGCGGCTTTCCTTTTCTTTTTCAAGTGTTTTACGCCGTCAGCCAGCACCTCGCCTAAATAAGTGTGCGTTTCTTTCGCCTTTATCTTGAACTTTTGTTGCACACATATCCAGATGATGCTGCATACTATTTTGCGCAATAACGATGTAGGTGTGATCAAAGTGTAATCTGTGATCAGGTCCAGAGATCATACCCGAGTTTCCTACGACTCATTCACACCGACAGTATCATTGCATTTTGGTACACCAGAAGTACATTCATTTCCAATGAAACGCTGCGTTTGCCTTACATAATTGCGTTGCAGAGGCAGTTGCAGTACATTCTGTGTGGTGCATACATTGGATTGAACGTATGCATCAACTTGTATGCGTAGATGGCTTGACAGAAATGGTAGCAGAAGGCGAATGTTCAACTTTTGTTGCGCACATATCCAGATGATGCTGCGTACCATTTTGTGCAATGTTGTTGTGATCGAGGCGCTAGTCATAATTACGAGTAGAGGGGCATTCACGTGCATTTTCCCAGTAGGAAGGTTGTATGCCGCGTTCAAAACAACTGGGAACTCAGAAATCTTTGACTTCCGACGTCAGTGCGTTCAAGACAACTGGAAAATCTGAACAAAAATCTGACTGGGAAAAATATTTTTGAATTGTCATCCAACTCGGAATTCCAAGTCAAACTCTGGCATCTTTCTAGAGCTCTGACTTAATGACCTGAAGATCACCAATGTCATGATTTGACCTCAGTTATTTCCGAGTTAGCAGTTTTCTTGAAAGCACCAGTATTTACAAGTTCCCTACATGACATCAATGCAGCATCAAATGTGGTCATATCAGGTGTGTGTGTGAACCTTTTGAAGTGTGTATTAAATTCCCAGTTAAAAGCTTGAAGGTCCAATGCAGCCATTTTTATCTCAATACCAAATCATTTCTGGGTAACAATTAAGTACCTTACTGTGATTGTTTTCAATTATAATGGTCAAAAATAAACAAATAGCCTCTTAGCAAAGAGCAATTTCTCAAGCAAGAATTTTGCTAGGACTGCCTGGGAGTGGTCTGAGTGGGCAGGGGAAAACTGAAAACTAGCTGTTATTGGCAGAGAGGTTTGGAACTCTCTTATTGGTCTATTAAATCATTTAATACACTCATGATATGTTTTTGAGATGAAAACAGTTGCATTGGACCCTTAACATGTGTTCATGCCGATCCTATTGTGAAGCCCTCACTTCCTATGTCAAGTGTCCAATTGGTTAAATATAGCATGCTGACCTCTCCATTGTAGGCTACCGAGACATTGTTTGTTTTGTTTTTCTTCTTTTTTTCTTCTCCCTCTTCTTCTCTCAGCGTGATGGAGGGAGAGAGCCCAGAAGGAAATCCCAGCGCTGCCTCGTCTCAATCACTTCCTCCCCAAGCAGAGGCAGTAAACCCAGCGGATGATGATGACGATTGTATCTCAACAATGGGGATTGGGAGCTCTGAAGAGGCCGCTACACTCACAAACAGCATGGGCCAGCCGAGTCAAGACCACCAGAGTGAAGGTGTCCAGCCTAAGACCGCTACCACAGACAACAGCCAGAGCCAAGCACTCCCTACTCAGTCCGCTGCCACCACCACGGACAACCAAGCCCAGCAACAACCCACGGAAAGCCTGTCTAACAGTAAACTTTGTGGGTACCTCCTTAAACAAGGAGGTCCCCTGAAGAGATGGAAGTCGCGCTGGTTCACGTACGAGAAGAAGAAGAGCCAGTTGTTTTACTACAGGACGGCACTGGATGTGACCTCTCTTGGGAGGATCCAGCTGTGCAGCGCCACGCTCGGATACCCCCTCCAAGGAGAGCAGGGAACCTTTCACATCCAGACCCCCGAACGCACCTTTGTCCTCAAGGTAAGGTTTATCGAATATTCAATTCAATGGGTATTTCAGTCTGAACTTTGAGGTTGGCAGTTCTGCTGGTTTTCTTTAATTAATAGTTAATTAATTAATGATTAATGTCATTGGTTGGCCAGAGAGTGCCTGATTAGAGGGGAATCACATTTGGGACCCTCACATTTTCAACTTATATCAGCAGAGTTTGAAATGTAGGACGTTCTGAATGTGAGTGTTATTAATATTAAGAGGATAAAAAAATGAGGCAGCGAAATAGTGGTGCTCTTGTATTTGAACACCTGTCTCATGTTAACCCAGCTATTTGGGTCACACAGCTGTGTAGTGTCAATCTACAGTATTCCTCTCAATAAAAAAACAACAGATCCTTTTAGTCAAAGAGCTGAATCATGAGAGATGAATAGGAATGCATAGTAATACAAAATGGATGCATATCTTATTCTGTTTCTCCTTAAAGTAGAATAAACTGTTGTATTGTTGTTTATAGTGTCCATGTTTGATATACAGGAAGACAAATACACTAATATTCACACATTGGCATTGGAATACTTTATCTTGGTCCACAAAGGAACATTCTGATGAAAAAGAACTAAAACATTTCAGAAGTCATGCATTACAGAGATTCTGACTCATGGCACACTCGTGTATGTACTGTAGGCTAACAATGTCTCTTCTCTGTCTGTTTCAGGCAGCTAACCAGGAGGCAATGATGTACTGGCTACAGCAGCTGCAGCTGAAGAGATGGCAGAACCGAGACCAGCTGACAGGAGAAACCACAAGCCACTGCACTGGCCACCAGAGACAAGAGGGACAGGGGGAACTACCCACCTACTGCCCAGGTACAGTAAGACAGAGAGTAGGATGAAGTGGCCCCAGACACTGATCAAGATTATGTTCGGCCTGACAATGAATGACGGAGAAGGTTGTTAATGTAGAAACAGATCTGGCAACCAGGCTAAGAATACCAGCTGTTCAAATCAAATACTGTCATATGCCATACATGGTTAATGATTTAGTGAACCATGGAAAGATGAAAGAGAAATGTAATACAGTGGGGGAAAAAAGTATTTAGTCAGCCACCAATTGTGCAAGTTCTCCCACTTAAAAAGATGAGAGAGGCCTGTAATTTTCATCATAGGTACACGTCAACTATGACAGACAAATTGAGATTTTCTTTCCAGAAAATCACATTGTAGGATTTTTAATGATTTTATTTGCAAATGATGGTGGAAAATAAGTATTTGGTCACCTACAAACAAGCAAGATTTCTGGCTCTCACAGACCAGTAATTTCTTCTTTAAGAGGCTCCTCTGCCCTCCACTCGTTACCTGTATTAATGGCACCTGTTTGAACTTGTTATCAGTATAAAAGACACCTGTCCACAACCTCAAACAGTCACATTCCAAACTCCACTATGGCCAAGACCAAAGAGCTGTCAAAGGACACCAGAAACAAAATTGTAGACCTGCACCAGGCTGGGAAGACTGAATCTGCAATAGGTAAGCAGCTTGGTTTGAAGAAATCAACTGTGGGAGCAATTATTAGGAAATGGAAGACATACAAGACCACTGATAATCTCCCTCGATCTGGGGCTCCACGCAAGATCTCACCCCGTGGGGTCAAAATGATCACAAGAACGGTGAGCAAAAATCCCAGAACCACACAGGGGGACCTAGTGAATGACCTGCAGAGAGCTGGGACCAAAGTAACAAAGCCTACCATAAGTAACACACTACGCCGCCAGGGACTCAAATCCTGCAGTGCCAGACGTGTCCCCCTGCTTAAGCCAGTACATGTCCAGGCCTGTCTGAAGTTTGCTAGAGTGCATTTGGATGATCCAGAAGAGGATTGGGAGAATCTTATATGGTCAGATGAAACCAAAATAGAACTTTTTGGTAAAAATTCAACTTGTCGTGTTTGGAGGACAAAGAATGCTGAGTTGCATCCAAAGAACACCATACCTACTGTGAAGCATGGGGGTGGAAACATCATGCTTTGGGGCTGTTTTTCTGCAAAGGGACCAGGACGACTGATCCATGTAAAGGAAAGAATGAATGGGGCCATGTATCGTGAGATTTTGAGTGAAAACCTCCTTCCATCAGCAAGGGCATTGAAGATGAAACGTGGCTGGGTCTTTCAGCATGACAATGATCCCAAACACACCGCCCGGGCAACGAAGGCAGGCTAAGAATAGCACATCATGGCACTCAAAGTAAAAGCCATCAGACACATAATCAGTGGCACACTTGTAAAATAGGAACAACATTATTTGCGTAGTTTCAATATCTGTTCCTCAGTGGGATTTTTTTTTTTTTTGCCACATTTTGTCACATGCTTGGTAAACAACAGGTGTAGACTAACAGTGAAATGCTTACTTATGGGTCCTTTTCCAACAATGGAGAGTTAAAGATAAAAAATAAATAATAATAATAATATCAGTGTGAAAAAAAACACACAAAATAGCAATTGGTTAGGAGTCCGTAAAATGGTTGCAATCCACTGCAGCACCATCAACAATGACTGGTTTAATTTATTATGAAAATGTTGTAACCAGTTGGATCGAGTTTTGCTTTGATAGCTAATAACATGTTCTGTTTGTTGTTGATGTCATACTAAAGTTTAATATGAATACCTTGTCTTGTGTCTAAAATGAACTTTTATTCAAGTATTCTGACAAAAACAATTATGTCCCAAGCAATGCTACTCCCTCTTGATACATGCTATTGTAAATGTCATCCCCAACCTGTAGGCTACAAGATTCCACATACTGCTGCAGAACACACCAAGAATGTCTTATGGCAGATTGCAGAGGTAGAAAAACCCTCTTAATTGTTTATGAGCGGATAAATACAGTTAGTTGAATTGAACTCAAAATTGCAACCAACCACTACAATATAAGACAATATAAAACAACAAACCTGAGTATACTACAGTCAATAGTATACTGTAAATCTATGAGGTGAAAACAGACATCAATACACTGCAGTGTGGTGTTCATATTTACCACACCCATTAATCATGATCTCCCTGTCTGGTTAGTCACTAGGATTTCCCAATTCTCCCACTGACCCCTAGTATCCCGAAATACTTTTACCCACTTCCTCTCAGTGATTGAGCAAATCCACTGTGCGCATCAAGTGTAGCAAGCCAGTCAGGACACATGAACAGAACATTGGGTAACTCATTCATCTTTAACTCTCAAATATACTTTCATATAAGCATTCTGTCAAAAACCAAAATTGTAACTTTGTTACATTATTCTTGTTTGCACACTGCAACAAATATTGTAACTCATCATTGTTACACTCAAAGGTTAATGAAGAAGCAGTGATGTGTATTCAGGTAATTGGAGCACCGAGAACTTTCGAGATAGAAATACAATGAGAAGCATTGACATGATTCCCTTTTCTAAATATCAGACCGTCATATCTGTACACAATTCATCTCTATCTGAACGTTCTGTAATGTTGCAACTTTCTGAACAGGCCCTGGTGTTGTTGAGCTGCATGTATGACTGGAGCCATTCCAGTGTTTTACATTTCTGGAGGATCAACAGACTTGTTCCATGCTCCTCCGACAGTCTAGTCAGCTGATGTCTGGCACTGGGAAACAACTGACCTATTTGGCCTTTTTAAAAAGTCTTTTTGAATAGAGACCTGTTTCCAAATAATAAGGAAGCTCTTCTTGCTACTAATTTCCATTATGTAAGATACAGTATTTCCACAATAATTAAATCAGGCATTTATATTTAGATAATATACAGTAACCTCAAATTATTGGCACCCTTGACAAAGATAATAGAAAATTAATTATTACAAATACCAAGCTATATTGCGTGGTTCCCCAACTGGCGGCCCTCGGGCCGAATTTGGCCCGTGGGTGTTTTTATTTGGCCCCCAAGTTTTCTGAGCAAAAAACGTAAATAATATATATATATAAATAAAACACCAGGAAATCATCTCTAAGTGATTTTAATTTTGGAAATCTGTTCCCAAGTATTCCCACACATAATAGAAAGACAGTGATCGTATATAAATGTAAGCAAGGTTTGAAATGATTATGTTTTAGTTAAATATTATATAGGTTGGGCTTCTTGCAGTCAATTTGCAGTCTACAAATTATTTGTAATTACGTTCCGGACCCCCGATCATCCACTCAAGAAAAAAATCGTCCCATGGCTGAATCTAGTTGATGATCCCTGCTATATTGTATGCTCAATATACAGTGAGTGTACAAAACATTAGGAACACCTTCCTAATATTGAGTTGCACCCCCTTTTGCCCTCAGAACAGCCTCAATTCGCCGGGGCATGGACTCTACAAGGTGTCGAAAGTGTTCCACAGGAATGCTGGCCCATGTTGATGCCAATGCTTCCCACAGTTGTGTCAAATTGGCTGGATGTCCTTTTGGTGGTGGACCATTCTTGATACACACAGGAAACTGTTGAGCATGAAATACCCAGCAGCGTTGCAGTTCTTGACACACTCAAATCGGTGTGCCTAGCACCTACTACCATATCCTGTTTAAAGGCGCTTAAATCTTTTGTCTTGCCCATTCACCGTCTGAATGGCACACATACATACAGTCATGGTAAAATGTTTTGAGAATAACACAAGTATTGGTCTTCACAAAGTTCGCTGCTTCAGTGTTATGAGATATTTTTGTCAGATGTTACTATGGTATATTGAAGTATAATTACAAGCATTCCATAAGTGTCAAAGGCTTTTATTGACAATTACAGTAAGTTTATGCAAAGAGTCAATATTTGCAGTGTTGACCCTTCTTTTTCAAGACCTCTGCAATCTGCCCTGTCATGCTGTCAATTAACTTCTGGGCCACATCCTGACTGATGGCAGCCCATTCTTGCATAATCAATGCTTGGAGTTTGTCAGAATTTGTGGGTTTTTGTTTGTCCACCCGCCTCTTGAGGATTGACCACAAGTTCTCAATGGGATTAAGGTCTGGGGAGTTTCCTGGCCATGGACCCAAAATGTCGATGTTTTGTTCCCTGAGCCACTTAGTTATCACTTTTGCCTTATGGAAAGGTGATCCATCATGCTGGAAAAGGCATTGGTCGTCACCAAACTGTTCTTGGATGGTTGGGAGAAGTTGCTCTCGGAGGATGTGTTGGTACCATTTTTTATTCATGGCTGTGTTCTTAGGCAAAATTGTGAATGAGCCCATTCCCTTGGCTGAGAAGCAACCCCACACATGAATGGTCTCAGGATGCTTTACTGTTGGCATGACACAGGACTGTCTTCTCCGGACAAGGTGTTTTCCGGATGCCCCAAACAATCAGAAAGGGGATTCATCAGAGAAAATGACTTTACCCCAGTCCTCAGCAGTCCAATCCCTGTACCTTTTGCAGAATATCAGTCTGTCCCTGATGTTTTTCCTGGAGAGAAGTGGCTTCCTCGCTGCCCTTCTTGTCACCAGGCCATCCTCCAAAAGTCTTCGCTTCACTGTGCGTGCAGATGCACTCACACCTGCCTGCTGCCATTCCTGAGCAAGCTCTGCACTGGTGGTGCCCCGATCCCGCAGCTGAATCAACTTTAGGAGACGGTCCTGGCGCTTGCTGGACTTTTCTGGGAGCCCTGACACCTTCTTCACAACAATTGAACCTCTCTCCTTGCAGTTCTTGATGTTCCGATAAATGGTTGATTTAGGTGCAATCTTACTAGCAGCAATATCCCTGCCTGTGAAGCCCTTTTTGTGAGAAGCAATGATAACGGCACGTGTTTCCTTGCAGGTAACCATGATTAACAGAGGAAGAACAATGATTTCAAGCACTACCCTCCTTTTAAAGATTCCAGTCTGTTCTTCTAACTCAATCAGCATGACAGAGTGATCTCCAGCCTTGTCCTC